CAACGTGTGTCTTCACCCAAAAATAAGGTGTTAGGTCTTTTCTTTTAACATTAATTAATGTACAGCTTAATAGTTGCGGTCCCATGGCGCGGATCTTCTACATGTAAAGCACTTTCTATACAAGCCACTTTGGCACACCTTTTCAACATTTATTCAATTATGTAGGATATTGGCGCTCGTTTTCACGGGTTCATCAAATTTGCTTAAAAGTAGTGCTTACTTTTTTATTGTTGTCAACTCTTCGAAACCATGGCGTTTCTCAATTGCATTGACTTAAGGTGACCCCACGCTTCTACTGCAGACCCGTTATAATTTTTACGCTACTTCACATCAAAAGGGTCGTTTGGGAGATGAAACTGGCAAAGTCTCACCTTCGTAACAAGTTGATTTTCGCATTGGGAAGTCCTGTAGGTCAGTCTAGGCACAGCTGCTCACTTATTTTTCTATAGAGACAAAATTACCTGCTGTAATCGAAACCCTTGACCTTGCTACAAAACTGCAAAGGTCACAGCAGTGATGACTGAAAATGTTCTAAAGCATGCAAACATCAAATTTACAAAATGCCAATAAAACTGTAGATATCGCACTTGTAGACAGCCTATCTGACAGTGGCGACGCACATACAGTCCGATATGCTCCTATCGGATAGAAAAGAATTGCTAAATTGAAATTGGATTTTCTCTAGTTTGTCGTAAAAGGGTATCATGAACTTGCTGATATTTCCTCGCTTTAACAGCTCAACCAATACCGATTCACGTGTACATGCATTGTACAGGCAGCATCAAGAGATCTCTTTCACCTTTGCACCAGGGCTAACAGTACTTTTGCATCAAAGCAGAATGATGTATTTAACCGCATGATCCCTTCGCCGTATTCATTGCAATCACAGATTGCCAATGATTATTATTACAGAAAAAAATATGATATTTGAAAAACGAAAATTACAGGATCAATCTATCTAAACTTTTACCGCCCTTATATTGATTACGGAAGCCTGTTGGAATACCTTTATAGGAATTCATCAGCCTAGTGCAAATGCAATAATAGTCATCCACAAATAGAAATCATTCCTGTTGAGAGTCCTTTACCCTAGTTCAAGTGTGCAAGTGTGATAATTGTTTGAAAATCGTTTTCGTTATCACAAGATATTGGACATAAGAAATATGCTTATTACTTCCATGGCCAGTGCATACTGACAAGGGAAGAAGAGGGGGGAAAAGTAGAGGTAGGCTGGCGGTTTAAAATATCAATTAAGAAAAACTAAATAAGATGTTTTAATATAGTAGTACAGCACAACACGACTTACACCATAAGCATTTATAGAAGGTGAAAAGCTCAAAACATAGAGGAAGATTATTTATACAATTTGAACCTATGGGAAATAAGTAGCACACATAGTGAAATATACAAGAGGCGCTACAGTACTAGTAGATACTTTGAATTCGTTTTCCGTTAGATTTGTACTATTTGTTTAATTTTTCTTTTATTCAATGTTTTTCTATTACTATTTATTATATCCATATGTGCATCACCCATGTGCATCCCTATACATTTTGTCATAACCTCGAAGTTCGTACCAAATTTCGTATGGAATCAATGCAGGTATTTCCACTGACAACCGTTTCATGATTTTGGCATAACGTGTAAGATGCATACATTTCAACTCCAAAAGTAAAAGAACATCGACATTCGAGATCAAAGGAGCTCAGCATGGCGAAAGATAGCAACGACTTTCAAGCGGGGCGATTGCTATTCAAGGACCGTTTTGGAAAGCGCTTTTGGACAGAAGGTTTCAAGTAAATGAGCCAATAGAATGCGTTGGATTGGACATGAAGGAAATGGCAACTAAGGCGCGATCGAAGTCATGGAGCATTTGAAATGTTTTCTAAAACAATTATGCCTAAACCCTTATTAAGTTACTTACTTTGACAATGGATATTGTAAAGATATCGTGATAACCTACATTGTATAATTAGTTGACGTAGTTTAAGTTTTGGAGCATACAAGTGTCTGTGCGCCATGCGTGTCAGATATCAGTAGGCTAAGCGGAACTTTATACTGACACAATTGTTGCAGAACAATAGTTATGCCCATCTAATACCTGGACAAACCCGGAGGAAAGGTGGGTTGAACAGAAATAAAGATCTAATTGACACCAAAAACAAGAAGACCAATCCCAGGGAAAATATCAATTCGCGAAGTGTTTTGTAAAGACGCAATAAAACAAAGTGTATCATATCCCTGCAAAAGAAATGAAGTATGCGTGTGGATGATGATCGTGCTTTTATGTGGACCACAGACAAAAAGAAATCTTAACCGTGTAATTCCTGCATGCCATTGTATTTTTGCCAAGAAAATGTATCAACTCCAAATTCCGGTTTTAAGATCTGTATACGATGCTTTTAGGGGCAATTTTACAGACTCTTCCGCAACAAAACGGTTCCTTAATGCAAAGCCGTCTTGATAAGGCTTTGGATAAAAAATTAGGAACCAAAATGTTATCAATCATATTTCTATTCAATTAACGGCGCGCCTGTTCGTTTTAGATAAAGAAATCTTAAGACCATTGTACAATTCCCCTTAGATATTTAAGTCGTCTAAAATTTTGATAGATAGCCCACAGACGATCTTTAAAATTGCTTTGACGTTATAGCCATTAAGGTTTTGAAAGATTTACAGCTATTGCCAATTCTTTCTCAGTGCTACGTTCCCTACATGGTTTCTGCGATTTGTATCTATCTCTTCAAAATTCTATCATTCTATCTCATAACAATTATTCATCAAAAACATTGTTTTTAGCTTTTTCTGGTTCTCCTTAGGTTTAAGCCCAATTATCCCGGGACGTTTTAGTATCTCCTCTTAATCACTCCAAGTTTCAAATTATGGTATAAAGTTGTGGGACACCCCCAAATGGTCCGAATTGACGTCTTAGTTAAGGTTGCCCTTTCTTCATGTATCGTTTTTGAATGAAGTATTTCATATCGTTGCACATCATCGCTTGGCATAACTCGCTAAAGGGATGTAACCAGAGGAAGAGAGTGGGGCATACTTCCATTGACTTTACAGTAAGAAGATTTAAATTTCCTCTAATCTTCTCCATGTTGGGACGGTCCCCTGGGTTCAATAAATCGCAGACTCCTAATTGTTTTAATCAATTATGCTTGGGTAAAGCTAGCAAAGATTGCCGTTGCATCTTGTTTACGATTTGCTATGGACAGGAGCGGCTGGAATGAGCAGTGTTGTGGGTGGTTTGATAAAATACGTGTAATTAGTGACAGGGCGTTTGTACACATTGCGACGTACTCGTAACCGTGATTAATCTGAATGATTGGCGCTTTTAAAACTACATTATAGTAGACACGAAAGCGGAGCTCAGACGACACGCGCGTATTTGAGTGAAAAATTTTTGAGACAGAAATCCTTTAGAGGTTCTAGTAATTGGTGACTTAACCCAAGTGGATACGTCAAAGGGGACTTTGCAAAACAATAGTGACATGCATTATAAAAGGTCCGCATTTACATTGGTCGAGAAATAAGAATACAAGAATGTATCTGGTCATTGGTGAAATCCTGCGTATGGATTATGTGTCTGCGCTAACTGTCATGCGATTCTTTATAAAATCTATGACCCTATAACATATAACTAGGAATTAATGCACATTCATCGAATCTTTTTTTTTTTTGATATGATGGAAATAAAATCATTTATATAAATATTCAGTATGATAAAAACACCGTATGCACATCGGCCTGAACAATATAAGATTGTCAGACAGTGACATGGCTATTTTATGGTCAGTAATTAGGCCTACATGTACTAGCCTTTTTAGGGACTCCAAAAAATTTAATCATTTTTCGGATTTTTTCAGTATTTTTTTAAAGCAAGCAGTTTCTATCATATGCTGAAAAACATTACATTAAGATTGCACTGCTATTTTGTGTCTGCCTTTCTCGGAGGATTAACTGAGAGAGTTTACAACTGTACTCGAGCTCATTTGTTGTGTGAACAAAGCGAACATCAATCTACACATAACCTTTAGTGGCCTACCGTTACTGAGAAGTACAGATAACATATTATTGCTTCATGAATGAGTAAAAGCAATAAACTTCTGTGATTGAGGTTGAACATATTTCATTTCAAATATCTTGGGAATCCAGGCAAACAGGAGACGAATGCACAAGAGTCGTTAACGGGTAGAAGTAATGGCCCCCATTTCCAAACGATCATGTACACAGATGGTTACTTCGCAAAGCGATGTTTAATTCCGACGCACATCATTTTTGATTGGCTTGTATGCAACACGAAATACGACATGAAAGAGAGAGAAAGATACGTTACAGGCACGTCTTTAACATTGTCGGTTTCTTTTAGGACAAAATGAGTCGCGCTAATACATCCCCATTAAATCATCCCCAAACTGACCATTTATCTACTGAACCAAGAAACGAGTCTTGAATCGAAAACCTCGATTGCCACTGCCATTTGGTGGCATCTTTCGTTAGATATAGACATACATGTATATACCTATTTCTTGAAAGCGTTGCTTTATAAAAGAAATGGTTTGATTGCATTTCTATCTAATATCGTCATCCTTCACTTGTTGGGACCACGACTGGTTCGCCCCAAAGTCATTTGATACATTTATTCGCCCTCGTCGGTTGGACGAAAAATAAATTAATGTACGTGGGCTTGAGTAGGCAACAAAATATCCATTTTGTCTTCACACAAGATGTGAACTCCTCTTATCTTTTCCCTGTTAAAAGCGAGTTAACCCGATTCTATCAGTCATAATGTGAGGACGACTTCAATTGGTAATTCGATATGCATGCCAAGTAATGACACCCGTCGGGTTCACGTCACTTCCGCACCATAATAAGCACAAAGGCGCCCCTGCTTTCGAATCGCTCTCAATGTGTTTGGTGATTGGACAAATTCAGATCGGTAACAACGTTTTACAATAGTTACCATTTACATAATCTAATAATGTCCACGAAAGCAATCCAAGCATGTTTTCGGTCATTCTTCACGGTCGGTATATATAGCAACTTTTTCTGGGATGTTTCATATACTGATGAGACACAATCAAATACTGATTGGTTTTTCTTTTAAGACGTGTTTCTGAGTTTAGAGTTGATTCCGATTTTACTTTCAGAAGATGATGTTGGAAGTGCGGATACCATGGTTAATAGCGCTCTTTGTGGTTTTCCTTTCCATTCCCGCTTTGACAGAAAAGACGAAACATACCCAAAGGGATTCAATAGAATCAGAAGGTAATTATTCTAAAGTAATTATATAAATTAATTGGTTTCTTTTATTGCTACGGTTCCACTATAGGCAACGACACCATGGATGAATTTTTTTAGGATAAAATGTGAAAAATACTGGGAAAAATTAATTTGTATTAATGCAGAGTCAGATAGCTATCATTTTTTTTTTCTCAAAGGAGATCGAACGTTATATAAAATTCCATCGGTTATTAGAGACCACTTATAATTTTAAGTTACAAATATCTTTATTCTAACGATATATGGAGACTGAACTGTAGAAAAAGTAAGGAAGCAGATATTATCCTCATCATTTGCAATTGAGAATGAAATTTTTCGTTATTTCAAATAAATATGACTGTTTTATTGATTTCTGTAGCTGTACATCATCTTCATCCCCTCAGTTGTTTGTTAAATTTTTTTTTTTTGTTGTTTAATTATATTCACCTGTTAGTATCTTATTCTATTTTAATCTTATTTCATTTTGATAAAATGCAGGAAGTAACGGGATAGGTTACCATTTAGTGGCTTAAACACCCAATTAGTTTTTTAAAAATATATTCTTGTTAGGCGTAAAAAAAAAAGAAAAAAAAGCATCAACATCACGCAGGAGATAATAATATACAGATATGGGCATACTACATTTCGAGAATTCATTTCAAGATCGAATCTTTAAATGAAGTTTAAAACTTATTTTTAAATGCAGCTTATGGGAAATGGTTTTAGAATGAATTGATAAACTAAAGTTGACACTGAGCATTAAAGGAAAGGAATCGAGAGTGCGATCAAAATCCCTTTAATTCAGTATTCTATACCAGTGATTTGGTCCCTTGGATTAGATTTTCCTACAATCAGACACACACCACTGCACACAGACATAAATGGTTCGTTTCAAATAACTGCTCCTCGGTGACGACTTAGCGATAAAACATTTCTCTTAGAAGTGATTACTTGGAACAAATGGGAATCCCTAAAGCGTCTTTCTTAAATACTGAATCTTCTACGTATGTGCCCAATGCCCCTTGCTGCGAGCGACTGATATGTAAACGATAGTGCAAACCACGAAACAACCTGCTTTAATTTCACTCATTTGAAGCGGTGTGTTGTGCGACACGATTTCTAATGTAAATTGATAAAGTCTCTTGTTGCCACTTGAGGCAATATTAACAATAGCGCCAAACGAACAACTATTAGAAAGAAAACGGAACTTTCCATTATCTGCTTTTAAGAGCAGGACATCTCCGACTTTGAGGATATCACACAAGACTGAATACAAACACAGTGTTGTTAAAGGCAGGGAAAATAATTCTACTTCATACCCTTGGAGAAATCAAAGAACGAGTGCAATTCGAACAAATTCGCTTTCGATAGATTTGTTCCAAAGTTATTATCGGAAAATAACATGAAATAACCCAATCAATTGTGCCTATAATCACATGCTATAGACAATTGGAGGAAAAACATTGATATGCTATGAGACATTCACAAAAAGAGTCTGTGTTGAAATTGTACTTAAATAATGTCTAAAACAGAGTCTAAGGCATGTGGGATGAACTGTTAGAGCGAAAAAAATTAGAAGCGCGTTACGATCGAATCTTGTCCTTAATGCTCAATACCAACTTCAACGTATTTATGCACTCCAAACACTGAATTCAAACGTATTTTTCATAGAACGTCAGTTACATGTACCAACGCGTGGTCTTAAATTTTGATGTTTTTATTTTTTTTACATCTAATATAGTTTAAAGGTTATGAATGGCTTGTTGATGGCAAATATTGGTTATCACAATGCCATGACAACATTTCATATCAAATAATAATAATAATAGTACATATAATGTGTTGCATTGTCGATCAATTAGTCGTGTGGGAGAATCCAATATTACGCATTGTTGTACATGTGGGAACGCCTTTCTAAACCGATAAATAAGAACTGGACAACATTACTGTAAATTTATTCTAAAATTATATGACTTTAAATAAAACACACAGCAAAAAGTTCTTTCTGCAAAAAAAAAAAAAAAAAAAAAGATCCCTCGCTCAATATCTCCAATGGAATTAGATCTGCGTTGTATCTTTTGTCAATCAAGTAAAGACAGATTGTTTGCCATATATTCTGTTTTGCTTAAAACATATCTAATCCATCTTAAAAAAACTAACACACTGAGGTTTAAAGGATAAAATGAAAACGCACTTTAACGTAGGTACCAGGTGCGACAGAAACGATTTCAATAACCTAGCTACCAAATGGAGGGTAGTTTTAAATAAATGAGTATGTCAGCATGCTTTTGTGTAACCGCGCATGTATGTTTGCCGTAGCTCTTGACTCAGCTTTCAGTCCTTTTACCTGGAAATGAACACACCATTAAACCTTCTCAAGATCTCATGGTCTCAGGTTATCGAACCTAGTGATAAATATGTACATCAAACACTATGCTAACTTGGAGGAAGCACCATCGATTAAGCATGGAATTAAACCAACACTTGAAAAACCAAATCATTGTTCGTCTAAGATACTAGTCTGCATCAAGTGCATTCGAATCTGAACCAGAGTGTTATTTTCGTTTTGGCTCCTCTGGCTTTGTCGAGAGAAATGGCAGCAGCAAGAGCAGTGTAGTGTAATGTGAATGGCAAAAAAAAAAAAAAAAAAAAGAAAGAAAAGAAAAGATTCCACCATTATCATTGGTGCCGTAGCTCTCACATCGACAGCCTTCAGTAACGTTTTTCAAACTTCACTTGTCCCATTGCTAACAGCTGGGCTTCAATGGCTGTCTACACTAGTTATATCATATCCTGTCACCTAATGGATATGTGGAACGGAAAAACTATTAAGTGTATTTGGCGGCAGTGTTTAGAAATGGAATAACCGTCAACTAATCCTACAGAACTTGACATCGGTCATTATCACTAGCGAGAGTTTCTTATGTAAAACGTGGGCCTAGTTGCACTAGAATATACTGTATAGTGTAAAAATTTGTGTTTAGGCCAGTCCCACATCAATAAAACAATCCTTGGACATACCCGCAACATAGTGACCTCTACTGATACGACGGATTAAAAAAAATGGGGGATAAAGGCCATATGAAATGTCAATGAAAAAAATCAAAGATTAACCGTAAAGGTAACATCTAATCTCCTTTCCAAACGTTGCAAAGGGCTTTTCGGGCGAACAGGGAACAAGATATTTCGACAGATTTCTAGCGTTTAACCGGTATTTACGAAATCCCGCATCTCAGGTACCATGATTGGCAAATACATCATTGCAGACAGTAGTACAGTGACATGAAAAATAACATAGAAAGCTTGAGTAAAACTGGAAATAGAGACGGAGACAAAGCAATATATTGCCAGTGCTCGGCTTTTGTGGGCTAAAATGAGTCTAGATTCATTGTTAATATTATAATCCTGAAGAGATTACTTCATTAATAGCAGCGTGGAATGAATTTTATTTGTATCGAATCTCTTCAGGGGGTCCAATTCAAGTTTGTTTCGCTCTCCGGGGGGAGGAAGCATTCTTAGTAACAAGATCTAATCGCTAATCTAATAAGTCTGAGGCGTTTTAATTGTGATTACCCTCCAGCTGAACATGAATGCGTAGGACGACAAAGTGAACTTTTGGGCGTCTTTGAACGGTCATCTTTTGCAAGACAGAATCGTATTTTGTGCTAACTGTAGTGTACGTCTATTAGGTATGCCTAATTTCATCATCTCAATCTAGTAGACGATAATAATAATAATAATAATAATAATAATAATAATAATAATGATAACTTATTCTATGGTCCATTCCATATAAATGGTACTGCTACTTACAATAAAACCTAAGTTAATATCGTATTAAGTTTAAATTAAACTAAATTAGGATCTTTTAAACTGTGGCAATCTAACCTTAACTTATAAATCTATAAACCTCTAAGTAATTCAAGTATTTTTCAAAACATATATTATAGAATACAATACAGTATTAGTTAAATTTGGACATATGTACTTGAGGAGAGAACTGCCCAGGTCTTTGATCTCTTAATAAATACGGGTAAAATATTCAGAAAGTTGAAAATGCCTGGAACATTAAAGGTCCGGTCCGCAAAAGACCAATTTTCTAAAATAGAGCTCCCAATAATTCAAAGTGAACGTGCCTCGAGTATAATAAGCACAAGTTTTGACCTTTTTCACCTGTTTGCATACTGATTTTGCAAATGAAAATTCCATGTTCATTTCCACATTTCGCAATGTCTACAAACCGCAATGGGAGTAGGGGCGGGAGGGCATTACATGGCACTGAATTATGTTTCTCAGTTTCACAATTTTTACTCACGACGCTCTCGAACACGCAGACCCTGTGACTGAAGAGACCTTGTTCTCACGAGAAAACTCTATTAAAACGCAAACACGAAGTATCTTATTCCATCACTACAAGGCGAGGACAATTATCACTTAAAAACAAGGAAATAGGTTAGAAAGCTCGAGATTATCTTACTGAAAGAGGACAATTATCACCGCTTAATGTAAATGATTTCTTTGGTCTTGCTGTCATGGGGAGTTTGTCACCAAACAAAATGATTTTCTTATTCCGAAAGGAAAACCATTTTCATCCAGTTTCTATCTGAATTATTCTCGTAATGGTTCTCTATAGGTAAAGTTCATAGTGAAGACACGGTTATTTGCGCGTCAGGCAATTTATTACAAATAATGTGGATTGATAAACTGTGAAACATCGTTTATTTTGTTCTGGAACGCAGAAATATTTAATGTAGTTTGTAAATTTTTAAGTACTCACAAGCCGTGTTGCAACTCAGACTCGCTCTTATAAAGTTGATGAAAATACAAGTACATGTACCTGTATAAGTGCATTAAATCGTATAAATAATTATTCCTAATGGCAACCCCCGTCTCGTAGGCAAATTGCACTGTTGCCTTTGGCGCTTTTGCCAAGACAGACAGATGCCAAGGACCTGAGATTTCAGGACAGCGGTCACCTTTAACTTAGCCTAGTGCTTTTGGGACGTTAAACTGTCTTCCCTCAAGATATAGCAAGAACTTGTTCGTAATGTACCAAGGGTACTATCGATCATTGATAAGGGCTTAAGTGAACGTCTTTGTTTTAAAGCCATTACGTATCGATAATGTGCATAAAGTAAACATAAACATCATCACATCTAAAACTATTATAATTACTGCTGTCAAAACATCTCTCTCTCTCTCTCTCTCTCTCTCTCTCTCTCTCTCTCTAAACATAAATCTGTTTACTGCTTATTGCCCTCTGTTTAATTCAGACCTTAAGTCACTTCATATTTAAATATAGTCAACTATATATCAAAAGGAAGACAGACATATTACATCGTACACAGTATTTCTAAAGAAAAAGTTATTTCTTTGAGCATCATAAAGTACGTGTAGCAGTGATTTAAATTCCTGATCTCTGAATCAATAATATTGAATACTGAGAGAACAGTACCAGTAGAGAAATAACCGTGGCGAATTTGTTTCCGGCATGGCCACATACAAGAAATCTACTACACTTACGTCCTGCAATCATTAGACAACCGGTGAATTGAAACGTGCAAGAAGGCGGTATTAATTGGTTTTCCGTGTTGGTGTAAGAAGAGGGAAAATTAATAGTGCTACCATATATCATATTTTTGCCTTTAATGAGACCAAATTAGTTCCGTGAAAAGTTGACACGTTCCGCTTCAGAGTTGAGTAGCATTACTGCAGCTCACTAAGTGCAACACGTATAGATTTCGTTTGTCTGTCTGTCTGTTGGTCTACCTGTCTCCCCGTCTGTCTCACTTCCCGATGTGTGCAGTTAGTTTTTTCTAAGCAACTACCGCATCTTTCAAACATATTCTAAACTACTTTATAGAATTGATTTGAAATTTACTTTTCACTTGTTCGTTATCTTAATTGAGTTTAATATGCCCGTTTTGTCTTCCGCAGCCCTATGGCACAGTGATGTCCCCCATTCAGAGTACGGCAGCAAACATGGCCTGGGCTACAAAGACGACACTGGGAATCCTCACAGTGAACTGCCTGATACTAAGTTAAAAAGAAGGTTTCTGGGGAAGAAATCTGATCACGATCTTACAGAGAAGAGACGCTTTCTGGGGAAACGCTTTGGTGACAGCATGTCAGACGATCCTGACAAGAGGAGGTTTTTAGGCAAACGCTTTCAGGACACTATCTCACCAGACCCCGAAAAAAGGCGTTTTCTCGGTAAGCGATTTGGCGATACAAGCTACCCAGCAGATGCAGAAAAAAGGCGATTCCTTGGTAAACGGTTTGACGATGATGATGATGATGATGATGAGGAGGATAAAGAAGATGCTTCCCCCAATGGTTTTGAAAAGCGTCGCTTTCTTGGTAAAAGATTAGATGAGGATGATGATGATGAGAAATCAGATGACCCAGAAAAGAGGCGATTTCTCGGCAAACGCTTTAATGACGACGCTAATCCGGAAGACGATGAAAAGAGGAGGTTCCTCGGCAAAAAGAGTGACGACGACACCGACATAGACAACGAAAAACGACGGTTCCTCGGCAAACGTCGTTTTCTGGGCAAACGGCGCTTCCTTGGAAAACGTGGTCCATATGAAGAGGATAAACGGGGTCGATTCCTCGGAAAGAGATTAGATTCCGAAAAAGATTATCTATTAGATAAATTAAAGAGGGCGTACCAATCTATCTTTCCCCAAGCCGACTTTCTACGCAACTCAGCCGACGAATTGGACAAGAGGCGATTTTTGGGCAAGAGGCGATTTTTGGGCAAAAGAAGATTCCTTGGAAAACGAAGTGCTGAACAGAAACGAGGCGACATGTTGAACTCGGGTCAAAGTAAAATCCACTCTATAAAAAAGAGGAGTATCATGTGGCATGTGCAGCCTGATCCTTCTACAAATCTATTTCTCGGGTATCCACGCCAGGTCATGTTACTTTCGAACGGTTACCCGTCTGGAATGAACCCTTATATGAAACGCCAAGACGTGCTCATTCCGAGGTGGCCTCAACCAGATACTCAAAGAGTTCCCCACTTCATTGGTTAAAGCTCAGAATTTTCGTTTGTCATGAATACAAATGAAAATATATTTTGTTAAAGAGGGCCCTCCTTGTCAAACACGCACCGAAAAAAATTCTTGTAATAAGTCTACTAATACCTCGTCTGAGATGGTGCTTTTAATCAGTATTTTTCAGTGAAATTAGAAGGCACCAAAACAAGGGTAACAGATTATCAATCAAGTCATAAAGCACAATACCACATTGTTATATTGTTTAAAAAGTTCCGATGTTTTAGCCATCAGTAACCTTGCACTTCTTCCACCTCTTCAAAACTTCGCTTTTCACGATTCACCACAACAGTTAGGTTGTTGAACTGAAAAACATCATAAGCATAATGCAACGGACATGTCCGTTCTTAATCCAGGAAATTGGATTTCTGTTTTTCAAGACATTGGCCTGTCCATCATATTTGAACTAGATTAAAAACTCTGTACGCTGAATTCTGGGCGGTTAATATCGATTGTCCATTTTTTCCACGTTAACATAGTTTCTTTTGTCACTTATTTCCTCATTTTGATCATATCTATATACATTGTATCTTCGGTCTGGCCATCTCTTCATCCGACAGCGCTGGCCCAAGAAAAGAAATATAAAAATCAAGATAGTACTTTTTTAAAACTGATAAATTTAAAGTTTTATGTAGACTTGTTAATGCATATGATTATTGTTTTTTCTGTTGTTTTCTTATCTGTGATTTCTCCAGTGTTAAGTCTTTTTTTAATTCCTTTTTCTGATCTTTCGTGCAAAAAATCCAACTTCCCTGTGTGGCTAATGGTTTCTTTCTGCTATTGCTCATATTCAAGCAAAGGGAACGTATTGCTAGGAGATTATTATAGAGTTGATGATAGATGATGATGATGACAGGCCCGGGTGTCAAGAAAGGCCATATGCATAATAATCATAATAGAAATTTGATATCATTGTGGAAGCCAGGTATAGCTGTATCTCTCTTTTTTATTGTGCTTCACTGAGTTATTGGACTAGTTTGATTTGGACTTTTTCGCATATAGGGGTAATGAGTTACGAGGACCACTAAGTAAGTGTTATTTTTGCGTTCATCTTATTTTTCATGTTATGAAACTTGAGATAATTATCAGATGACAGCGAATATATAAAAGCCTTCGGCGTTTTTTGAAGCATTCTTAAAACGGGTAAAAGGCAACTCGGCGAACGCGATACCAAGATATATCGTTTTGGATGTTGGATTTCTGAGGAATCACCGTGCGCCGTTAATATTCTCTCACGAGTCTGTCCTCCCTGAGACCGACGCTCCACAGGTTAAGCTCACGAGATTTGTGCAATTTACCTTTTAATTGAAAAGGAAAGGACACGCAGTAAATTAGATGCTTAATTATGTGTACTTAGATAATATCGCTTTAAATGGAAGCAATTTATCAATTTTGACAAGAGCTACTAACAACTTTCGGAGTAAGGCAAGAGTTGGTTTAATGAAGAAAAACGCCATTGAATCGTTGTTGATAATTTGATGATGTGAAAAGAAGGGGTTGATTTAGGACTACATAATTGCACAAGTACTATAATTGTAATGTGTTTAATGAGCAAGCATTTGCCTTAAATCTACTTATTTCAGGTGATGAATAAGAAATAACAAACGCCAAGCCGTTGGCATGTACACTTTTGTCTGTCAAATAAAACTATTACGTATTTGATTAGAACCTTGCGAAATGTGTGTCTTTTCTGTTTAATGCGTGTTAACAATTGATAAAACAGTACACGGTAAAATCAGAAATAAGATCCTCTAAATGCCAGCCACAATATTACCATTTTACTTATAGATGCCCAGTAAAACCCAATATCGCCATCTTGTTTGCTATCAAATGGACAACCCCAGCAAGATGACTCGTACGTACACGTACACGTTCAACGTCCAGCCGAAACTCTCTATTATCGACGTAAAAGCAGCACGAAAGAAGACGAAAATAAGTAGGCCTACACGGTATAAACACATGCCAAGTAGTACAGTATATATAAATTACGCAATGGTGGAGCGCCAATGCGTTTGTCTTAATCTGGATCCCAAGAAGATTCAAGTTTCAGGAAAACAGATCCCTAATCACTTTCTGCAATCCTCAAAGGTATCAGACAAACGAACTTTGATCCTTGTTCTGTTCCGCGCGGAATAAGAATTAATGAGCATTGTTTTATCATGACGGATGAAGGATAGCGGGAAGGGGTGCTGACTTCAATTTTAACCCTCCCATCTACAAATGGAAAACAATAGGCCCCTTTTTACCAGCCTAAAATCATCTTAATCTATATCCGAGTCCATGATTGTGATTCTAACTCGTCCTAAACTGTGCCAATGAATATGCCAAAACTGAGTTGCAAATTCAGGCAGATTTTCAATCTGCATTGGCGATATACCAAACGATACTTTGCCTTGACAATACCAGAATGGCAGTTGTGATTTTGTCTAGGCAAATTACAAATAATACCTTTGTGCTTAACTGTCGTTTGGAGAATGTTCAAAAGATTGACTTTATTTTAATTATAAGACCATTTGAACATTATATTACATACCATCTCATTATTAAGTATTTGTTACACTACAATAAACAATACATACATATACAAAACGCATGATGCAGCCCTTGTTAAACTTATCGGTTGAGTCTAATTCAGCTGTATAAAAAAACTGTAAATCTATTTATTTTTCGGAAAGTCATACGACAAAGAAAAAGTTATAGTAGAATATGGGATAACTAAAACATAAACCTCAAAATTGAAAGTATTAAATCACTCAGTTTCAGTTTTATTTAAATATCTGAAAGCATTAATATGCAACACTGAATTTAAAAAGAAGTAAACAAAAAACTGGCAGTTTTATTTCTTGTTTAGTTGTACATGTGTTAGATGTGCAATAAGTGACAATGAAAAAGGGAGGCAGCACATGTTTTGCTGTACGTTCTACCTGTTGTATTGCATTACATATATGTACAGGTATGTACTAAAACAGAAAGTCGTAAGGATTATGCTCAGGCATCCACAATGAACAGAGTCCGATTATGGAATAATTTCTTCCTCTCAGAGAGGTTGTAGGGAGTGGCAGTATTGCACATTTCGAATTGTTTTTAAACTAGCTAGCCTAGGTAAAATTCCTTCTGCCACCTCGCCAAGGCGGCCTGAAAACCCGCTTAGATTTGCATCTTTACTGTGACAAATACACATGCTCAGGGTGGCCATTAACACCGAAGCTGGGGGTCCTTGACGCATACATTTGTTAACACTACTCAAAGTGATAAAAAGATTTTTCTGTTGGGATTAAAATTGCCGTCGTGTTTTAAATCCCCATGAAAACAGTGAAATAGAAATCCTGACGCACTATCAACAAAACTTAAAGGAAAGTTTCGCTATCAAAGAATCGTACGATGTTGGTTTTAGTACCCTAGGTTCTAGATTCCGGTATTGCCAGCTCGATCTTGATTTCATATATAACCCATGTCGCAATACCAGGTAATTATTAGTAAAAGCGACTCCATCACAAGGTATATATTTAACAAGCTAGCTTTTACGTTGCTCTGACACTCAGGGTAGGTTTTAGCTACCTCATATCATAATTTCCCTATCCCGAGTTTCAGAGTTGCTTGGTCTCTGTTTGATTAACGATCAAATTATATAAGTGAGTTCTATAGGTCATAAGATTAAGAAAGTACTCCATTTATTTAAGTGTTAATCGCGTATCTCATCCCTTTCCGATTGGCATAGAAAACCCTTACCAAGAAAAATGGGTTTTGCAGCAAAGGATCTTCATAGATAAGTCGTGAAATAATGATAAACAAAGGCAGGAACTGCAACTCTGTGACTCTCCAAATGCGAATGAAACAACACCTTAAAATCGATAGTCAAAATGCATGACTAAGATGCTTCAATTTAAAGCATGAAAAAATGCTTCCAAGTTAAGACTATGAAAGGCATTGAAAATACCACTAGAGTTGATAATGCTAAAGTAGCCGGTTGATTACATTCCACAAATAGAATGTTTCTTTGCTCAGAGAAAAAATAATAGCTTGTGAGATTAATACATCTTTCTTTTGCTGCGAGGCGCAAATCTGTATCATTTGATTCATTTCTCTATTATTCCCATTGGCTGCAACGTGATATTCTATATACATGTACACTATTGATCAAAAAGGTTGTCACACCTCAAACTTCTTCTTTTTGTTTACAAATCATCATACTGCAGTTGCAAACCGTTTTAAATAGTGTTATTGTGTTTTTTTTTTACTTCAGATACTATATCTAACATGACTTAGAGTATAAAAAAATACCGGTGTAAATACCCATATCTTGCCAACGTGTATTCAAAGAAAAGGGGAAAAACACATATTCAAATCTGATGACGTTCTACAGTGACATATTTAGAAATAAAAAAAATCCATTGAAAAGACAAAGCTAATTATCGCCAAAACTCTACACTTCCAAGGGACGTTCCCCAGCAAGTCTACAGACTCATTTACCATCGATGGGGTACATGGTATTTGGCAGCAAAGTGATCAATGGCCAGGTTCGGTTCCCCTGGACTCATGGCGGTCTTTAATGGGGTGGACTATTGGGATGAATTGGAGCAAATGTATGGAAGAGACCAACTGGACCAATCTGGACGAACTCCGCCATGCTTTCCAGGAACAATGGGACAATATCTCAGAAAATAGAATTTTGACGGTAGTTGAAAACTGGGGATAGTTGCTGTTTAGGGTATATCCCTAATAATCACGAAACATTGCTTACCACAGAAGGCTGCATACGCAGTTTTACTTAACAACCAATTTTACATCGAACGTGACATTTATTCCATATGGTCGTCATTTTTAAATTTACTATAAGGTTTCTGAATTCTTACACAAGATATAACAGCTGCACGCAGTTCAATTTCAACATTACTATTACTTTCACCAGTTAACGGAAATCGACAGCGTTAGGAGGCAAATAATAACGGCCTTTCACTATCTGACTGGTATCCTCTATCAGTTTGTTCACAAGTGCTAGATAATAGTATTTTGAATTATTATATTGGAAAAAATGTTAACCAACTTTTGCTTATGCAAAGGGACTTTCATTCCTTATTAAGTTTTGGACCCTGGATTTGCAGCACGCACGCAATATGCACCTGAAGACTCAGGTGGTTTAGTATATGTGATTACTTGCCAGCAGATCAGTGTTTTTTTTTTTTTTTCGAGTGAACGTCGGGAAGCTTTCAACGGAATTACAACTAGAAAAGCACTCAAAAAGCGCAAAGATCCAACAAGACAGTTTTATTCTCCTTATCATTTAAATAATGGATCACTACCAAAAACAACCGCCACAACCGATGTGTTTGCTACAGCTACATCACAAAACAGGGGTTGAGGGGTATCTTCAAACCTCCATAACGCTGGAATAATCTTGTCGTTTAACTTTGTACTGCAATTGTAACCGCGGACAGAATAACAAAAAAGGTCCTTATGTAAGAATACTTTGACCACTGCAAAAGTAAGTGACAAATGAAACGGGTGACAACAATCGAGCGCCAAATGGTCGTTTATCTTACTATGTCTTTCATTACGTAGCCTTTAGCTAGAGTAATAGGCAGGCTCTCAGTCAATGCTTCTGTCATGTTTGTAATAAATGGGAAACACTTAGCGTTAATAGTGTAAAATCACAGTGTGTGTAGCCTTCAGCACGTCTCTTTTATCCATTCTATATCATTTGTACGTAATCGCATGTCATCTCCACTTAAAACTGGATCACAAGTAACGAATGATCGCTCTCAGCGGAGAACCGCACAGTCAGCACTGCCGATACGTGGTAATATAAGGAACTGCTGTAATTCAGCCAAAGCGCTCTTCACTGCATTCCATTTCTCTCTCAGCTGCTGGGTGTATTTATATAATATGCAAAATAAATATGGCATTCTTGGAATATTTCCTTTCTGGTTACTTCGTCTTCAAGCTCCCTTCAACGCCGCACGACAAGGTGTGGCTTAATTATGATAAATGATTCACCAGTGCGACCCCCTAGTAATTATACAGGAATAAAAGGTAACACAGAGCCTAATACCGGGCGGATCTTTGGTGTTCCTTTTAGTTTATTAATGGGCCTTATTTGTGTTCATTATATACGAAGATCCTATCACTCATATGCTGGTGTCTTCCTTCGAGATCAAGCCCTAGACCTATGTTATTTCATTAGTGTTTAGATGATACCATAAATACATGAAGGTTCCGTCTGTCTGTGATGATAAATAATCATAAGAAAAGTGAAAATTGGTCGTTATTGAAAAAATAATTGAGACTTTTTTTTTGGTGGGAGGCAAGACGGGGGTTGCAATTACACAGTAAAAGGAGGGGTGAACGAGGGAAATGATTTTCTTTGTTGCGGATTACGCAGTAGGATTTCACTTTGTGCACTCGTCCACTCGTTCTTGCCAATACCCAATGATGAATTGTTGCAGCTAAATAGATGGGAAACGTCGCATTTCTCTTAATGACCATACTCCCAGATCTGTTTGAAGTAAATTCAATCAATACCATCTACTAGATACAGATAACTTAATTACCATAAAAGAGTTCACGTTTCCAGCTCTGCTTTTGACGTGTGATCAAAATGACAAAGTCCGTGTTGCGGACAAGGGGTCTTTCGCTTGGGCAAGTTTTTTTTTCTTTGAATTAGTCATTCTGGTTTTCCATGAAAATTATTATCTATAGGAAATTTTCATACAATACCGACTGATGCAGTCGGATTTCACGTTTTTTGCTGTTTTGTGTGTGCGCGCGCGCACGTGCTCGCCCATTGTTTCTTGCCCATTCGATTGATAAATTGTCACGGCTAAATAGACAGGAAATGTTGCACATCTCTTAATGACCATACTCCCAGATCTGTTTGAAGCAAATTCAATCAATACCATCTACTAGATACAGATAACTTAATTACTATAAAAGAGTTCACGTTTCCAGTTTTGCTTGGTAAATGTGGTCAAAACGACAAGGCACGCGTTACGCAATCTCCCACGAGTCCCCACATTTCTGCAAGTCTGAAAAGTTGCCCCCATCAATGTCATCAACGTCTTTTTTAATACTCTTCCTTATTTTCTTTTTTCGGGTCCTGTGTTTGATAAGAGTTCCACACTAAAGCCTTGTGTTCCACGTCAAATAACCAGATGTCTATGTCGTCGTGTCCACCATAAAGGAAAAATACATATAGCAGTGTTATGTCTTGGATGTTTGTTCGCATCATTTATAGAAAAAAATTTAACAGCAGTCGCTTCAAGTTATCAAATCGATCAATACCATTTACTTAATCAGAAGAAATTTAAGTTATCAAAATCTTTGTTTAGATCACTTTTTATCAAACTATTTCTCATTCACAATATTTTAATTTCCAGCGCATGTAATGGCTATTATACCATAGTTCGGAGGTTATTGAAATCAAATATACATTAATTCCACACAATGTACTAATACAGTAGATTAAGTTTATATTTTTTTGTTCATGTTTAAATTAAAAGAGCATGTTGCTTAAGTTACTTTCAATCTTTTCAAGCAAATTGTATAGAGATAATGGATACGATTGAGAAATTCCATCATTCATCGTCACTATTAAATCCCTTACTATACGTACAACAAACAAGGCAAATAAACTTACAATAACTTCTTTTCAAATTAATTTAACACAACAACAAAAATGGATTTGACACAGGCAAGCTTCCTCTGTAAAGGCCGGTAGCATTCATCCCCAGGGCTCATACCATGTGGCAAATTATGTTGTCAAGGGGTACATTTGGGAGACATCAAATGAAATATACAGCTTTCCACTTTAAAAAAAAGCCAATAATTTACCTGAATAATATACTTATTAGCTGAAACAAAGACCGTGCTTTGGAAACAAGGAAAACTCTTGTAGGAGTTGGGGGAATGCTTTGTCTTCATTATGAAAAAGCCATAATTTAAAGAGGAGAAATATGCCCCGTTGAGCCTCCCAGTTAAATGTCAAACTGCCCCTGTAGATTTGGAATACTGCATTATGGCTGGGGGCACATATCTGCTCTGGCCAAATCAGATAGTGAAAATTGATTGAATGGCGCTGAGGTCAGAGAATGACTTTGCTGAGGTTTGTATAGCCAACACCAACACAAGTCAGGACAAGTTTGTCCCCTCCAGTGTTAAGGTCTTCCTCATTGTCATCAGTTCCTTTGTTCGATTTTGTTTCTATCTTAAAAGTAACTCCAAAAAAGTCTTTTATGTGCCTTAAAAACTGGATTCTGAAACAAGAGAGAGAGAAAATTTAAAAGAATGTGATAAATAGGACACTTCCAATATAATCCACGTTAACTGTACTGTGCACATAAAGGAAATATTAAAGTATACAAAGAAAAGCATTAAAATACACTTTAAAACAGATGTGCATATAAATGCTGAAGAAATACAAGCCTACACCACTTACTACTTGTACAATGGATACCCTTAGGACACTCACACATACTACAAATTCATTCAGTTGTAAATAAGAACTTGATGGATATTTTTTAAAAGAAAAGGAAGACTAACATTTGCCAAAGTTGAAACTATGTCCTTGAGGTTTATTAACTGGTGAAAGACCAGCATTTTAGGACAACTTTGAAGCTTCATCATCTTACCACAGTTAATGGAAGTTCTGATGAAAAGCAATCCCCACCTAACCCACAGGCCAACAAGAAATTTAAGGTACTTCAAATAAATGTGCTCGAAAAAGGAAGAGAAAAGATAACTGTACTTCTGTAATGGGGTGGATTTTCAATGAGACAGACAGACAGACAGACAGACAGAATAGGTGACAGACATATAGCCCTGAAAGAAAAGGGTGACAAAATGATACTCGGTTAGATTTCAAAGAGACAAACAGTACAGCTACAGAAAGAGAAATTCAGCCTGAATTTAACATTTAAAGACATTAGTCACTAGATCTGTAAGATAAAAAGGAAGCAGAAACTCACGTGTATGGTGTTAGAGGTCCGGTCAGTATTTTGGAGACATCTTGCTGTCCAAGACACATTAATAACACTGCTAAACTCTGACTGGAAGAATCTACACAGCCACCCTGAAATGATCAATACACCAAACATATTACCAAAGAGTCGTGCTTTTTTCTAAAAGAATTTGTTATAGCGACTTAAAATATCTTCAGTAAATTTTTGGTAGTCTATTGCTATCATATTTAGCTTTCAGTTTATTAGTAATTAATAATTTAAGTTGCAACGTACATGAAGTTGCATTTCTTTCTACCAGAAACTCTTCCAGCTGTTATAGAATTGGATGAACGAAGATGTCCAATTTTGGCATAGTAAGAAGGGTCTTTGGTAGAGATGAAAGTTGTGTAGCTGCTCCATTGTCTCAGTATTTTTTAATTAGGCTATTATCACACATTTGGGGCGGTTACATGTGGTATGAATCTGGCTAATTGTGTCTGTCTTGGATTTTCCGTGTGCAATTTAAGACTTCCATGTGCAATTTAAGACTGAAAAACTCTGAATCATGGAAATATGAGATTGCATTATCCACATGAAAATTAAAAAGAAGTTTCCAATTTTGAGCCATATTAGGAAACCAATACAAATATTACACTATAAGAATTAACCTACCAGGAGAATTCTTTGAACACCCTTTACATACATAAAAGAAAAAGAAAAAAATCACTGCTCTCTATAAATTGTGTCTAGTCCACAGTTACTTAAAAAAAAAAAAAAAAAAAAAAAAAAAGAATCTGCAAATTGTATGATTTTTGCATGATTGGATGTGAGGGTATGAGACACATTACAGAGAACATATCAAATGACCCATTATTTCTGGACTGTTATGTAATAGCACTGAATACGTGCTTTCTTTTTATTGTTGACAAAAGTCAGCCACATCTGAACAACAACTAATGTGGATATTATCAAATTCAAAGAATCCAAGTGTTTGGTTTCTTCCAGCTAATCAGAACCATCATCTGTCACAGAAATAATGTCAACATCTAACAATTTATCTGATCAAACAGGATGGCCAAGTTGCCAGCAACAAGACTCATAGTGAAAATGAAGTGCCTGTAATTTTGATTTTTGATTTATTTGAATGTCATTACACAGAGATGCTCACTTTGCAGAAATGATATTGATAATTCTTTCAAAAAGTGAGTATACTTTCTTCTGTTTTCTTCTATTAAAATATAGATAATACCATGTTTATCAAAATAATAGATGAACCAATTAACGAAGGCAACATAATTAATAAGAAATTTAAAAACTAACTGTGAAAAAGAGAAAAAGCTCAAAATTAATTATAAAAACCTCAATAGAACAGTGCTTCAAAATCTTTATCTCTTAATCCCAACTCCATAAAAAACCAACCTCATACCCTTCTATCTCTATCTGTCTCAAATTGCACTTAGACGTGGTTAAGTGATTTCCGGGAAAAGTGTCTCCACATTGTCAACACCATTTGTCAACCAGCACATTAGTTTCCAACAAAACACTACAAATAAATCCAAGTTCACACTATTTGGGTATGACTTTCAATAATTTACGTGTAAGCTACTTACTGTAGACCTAGCCAATGTCACTTTACACACATTAATTGGTGAAAATAAATACTTAGTCAAAAGAAAGAAGCAACATTTCCCAAGAGAATGAACATCACCAACAGGTTGTCCTGTCAAATAAACATGACCAAGCAGCGAATATCAACCTCAACTTTATATAGTAGTATTCCAAAGGAAAGAGAAGAACTATTTATTATAAATTATCTATGCAACAGTCCTCAGTTTGATTTACCTGAAAATAATTGTTAAATGATAGTGGGAAATATGCTCTAAAGACTTGCTTCTTTGTAGCATCTTTTATGTCATAAAAGTAACCCAGGTACTCCAGTACTGTGACAACAAATTCTAAGCTTTCACTTGAAGTCATTACAAGAAGTTTGAATTAAATAATAATAATAATAATAATAATAATAAATAACTCAAAGCATATGTGTCTTTAAAAAAATTGATAGTTCTTCTAAAAACTTTTTGTGACATGATTCATAATCACCAAATATAATTTACAATCAAACCTTAACAAAATGTGCTCACAATCACATCATGAGTAATTAATGCATAATATTAATATCTAATTGATCATTTATACAAAGTGCCATCACTATTATGTGTAATTATAGCATAACACACTATAAGCTTGTATATTCTCATATAGTTTCAAAATGTGGCAAAGAAAATTAACTGGCTTCTAAAATGTAATAGAGTTTCAAAATTGATTAATTAAGGGTTGTCAACGAAACAGATTGCATTTCAAGGGCGACAAATCTGTCGAAGTTAATGTTTTGAAAATAATGAGTGAATCAAGACTAATGGAGCTGAAACCTAAAAAAAAACATAGCTTTCATTTAATCAGCTTGAAAGGGCAGAATCTGAGTTTCATTTTCTTTATACATAGCCTATGCTAATGCCCAAAGGCATGTTGCAGCTTTTGAAGTTATAGGACACTGCCCCTACTAAAAATTTATATTTTTATTCATAGTAAAAAATACAAGAAATGCCTGATCTAACTCTAACTGTTAAACGGTAGAAGCCTTTACATATAACAACAGAACATTTTGACAATTTGGACATGAAATCAGTAAGGCCATTTTTACATTGTGAGTTACACATATCAAAACTTGTCCTAACAAGTAATTATACTACATGTTTTTTTGCTCACTTTCACAAGTTTGCTTCCAACTGTTTGAACCAGTCAAAATTAATCTGGTGAACTGGCCATATTTCAAGCACACTGTAGGTGCCTTTCTTGCATAACAGCCCTTCTACTCAGTTGTCAATCTCCCTAAGTATTTCAATGCAGATACTTGTAATGCATGATGTGAAAAGGTCCTTACATTATAGGCCAAGACTGTAAGACGCACTTCATCTCCTCTCACTCAACCAAAGAAGTTTTTTTTTTGTCAAAGTATCCCTTCTCACACAAATAATAAACCCATCTTTGGTGTCTTCTTTGATTACATCATATCAAGGAGATAATGTCATTGCCTCTGCAGACACTGAGCTTCAGCACAATTTACACACTAGGATTCTTGGGCAGCAGTGGGCTTCACTTTAATCTCTTAAGTAACAGCAACTGCATGTGCTCTGCTTTAAAGTAATCCAATTGCATTTAAATACTAACAAGTTTACAATCAAAGACCTCCAGATATATGAAAAACCAATGAGCTGAACAACAAAATGATTTTTAAATTCATGTTCACAATTTGTCAACTGTAAAATAAAATGGCAATAATTTATCCTTTTCCAGTCTACTAGACAGTAGTCACTTCTCACCAGTTATATTTTGCAGTTTTTTCTCAATTCACACTTATTAAAAAATCTCAACATGAGTCTTCATCATAAACTGCTGGACTTAATATTTAATGCAGTTATTGTTCCCAGTGACTTACAATATTACAAAGTCATCCTGAGCAATGAGAATACTCCTAGGCACTTATTTCAATTAAAAAATAAAAACCATCTGGGAAATCTTAGTAGAAAGTGTCATGACTCTTTGTTGGAAGCCACCTAGACACGAAAATTAACCACTATGAATAAAATAGAGATCCTCTGCTTTTCGCTATGCCATCTTAGGCTCTGTAGAGAAGACAGAATTACACTGAACAAAACAACATGTCACTGCTTTTCCCGTTATATCAAAGAGCGGTTGCAGCAACAGAAAGCCAGACAGTAATACAGCAGTTTATGACCAGAAATTCAATCTGTTATCAACATTTCTCTAAACCAATGTAAATGTAATTATGTTAATTGGTCAAGGCTAAATTACTTTTCCAATTGCCAAATAGCACAGGGATAACTTACATATAAATGTGATGATCTTTTTCTAGGTGCAATTTCACTTGAGGAAGCTGGCATTTTTTTTCTAAATTCAATATGGTTCAACACCCTTGACAGAGATCTAATTTTCTGCAAAATGTTAATGGTTTCTGTAGACACATCCTGAAAAAAAAACACCTACCCTGTGTATTTCCTTCAATAAGTGTTTGGCAGCGTCTTTTCCCAAATCCTCAGGAACTGTAGGCCCTGCCTCAGAGCCTTTGACATTGGAAGCAAGCTCAGCTGTTAGGAAAGCACCATTAGTTGTCTCTGCAACAAGTGTTAAACCAAAGCCTGGAGACCTATAAAACAAAATATTCTGTTTAAAAAACATTGGCAAGTGAATGGATTGTAGTCAACTTGTCATCAATTACCAAGGTGTTCAACTACTGTTTGTGAATTTATCAATGCAACAAAATACACTTGTGCAAAAGTGCATATATTTTTTTAGTTAAGCATGCTTTTTAAAAGAAGTACTTGAATCTTAAACACTATGGAAAACTGTCATTTAAAAAAATCTACATGAATGCAAACTTACTTTCCAGATTGACTTCCTTTTTGATGATCGGTGTATATGTATATATCAGCTAAACACTGGTTTAAAACACTTCTTACAGAATCCACCATTCTGTTTGTAACTGCAGGAGACACACGTGTTGCCCAGCTGACAACTGGTTAAGGAGGCTTAATTCTTCATTTCATGTTACATGTTTAACTCAACTACTTTCAAGTTCACTTTTGACCATTGCTGACACTTTTGAGTGAAGGCAGAAACAGTTACTTCCAAAAAATACCTGATCTGAATTTTAAACCTGAAGGAGGACCTCTTTTCATCCCAGAAAAATCATCGTGCTTTATGTTAAAGATGCAAAATATATAAACAAATTCAAACCAGTTTATATAAATTGTAATATATCTGTTTAGACTTAAATCTTATCTTTCAATTCATCCAAGAATCTTAGTTATTTACTTCTTATTAAAGATACGCCACACCCCGTATTCTCTTCACTTTGCCTGGATCTGTGAACTGAACTGGGCGTAGTTTCTGTCTGGTGGGACACTTAAAGATAACCTCCCCTCCTCCTTCAGGGGCTGCCCCACGTTTGATTATCTGAAAGAAGTCAATGATAAGAGACATCAGACAACAATTTAACATATGCTTGCTAATTCGAAAATAATGAATTTGAGATGCACTTTAGTTCAAGTCCAATGGGCTCCCCAACTGTGTTGTCTAAATATGTATGTACTTGAAGGGAACTTGGGCATTGTTCACATGAAAAATCCAAATTCCAAAAAACCATTGGCGGTATCTAGTGTTCACGGTCTGTACCCTGAATAATTAACTAGCAGAGCGAGCGATTTACTTCCAAAGCTGTAATTTAATCTCCGTTGCGCTCGGAGGAGATTTTGACACCTGGACACATGAGCAGTAATAATTTAGAGAGAAAGAAAATGGCAGTTGCGGTTGCTTTGAAAAATGTGTTTGTCGATTTTGTGCAACAACAAGATGTTGAAAATGAGGTCCATATACACATGACAGATATGAGTGCAACCTTCATAATCTGATGGCAAGAGATACTACTGTGCATGCGTTCAGGTGTCAGAATCTCCTCCGAGCGCAGCCGAGAATTAATTACAGCTTTGGAAACTACTTGCTCGCGCTGCTAGTTAATTACGCGGTGGGGTATTCAGGGCACAGACCATGATCACTAGATACCGCCAATGGATTTGTAGATTTTTGGAATTTGGATTTTTCATGTGAACGATGCCTTAAATTTACCACAGGCACTATTGGTCAATGTTATATCTTCCAATCCATATATTGCATAATAAAATGGGGAAACAAACAGTTATTACATCATCTTTCTTTTGGTATACAGCATGTTGATGAGATGACTCATTTGGTGAAGTCAATAACCTCCTCTTTGCATACACCCTTTAAGTATGAAAGCCAGTAGTACACAAGCACAAAATCACATTTCTTGTTCACAGAGAAACATTCAAGGGAAACACAACATTCTATTGATTTATTCCTGATTTTAGTTGGCCTCCGCCCTGTTTCAAACCAAGACCTATGTAAGGTTCTGTTTCAATTAAGTTTTCTTTGTGTTCCATCGTAAGATGGGTTGAGTTTGTAAAACTCCAACAGTCTATTCTGCACCACATAACGGACACACACGCAAACACACACAATGAGAACAGTTCCCATTTCACTTTATAATTCCTTTTTTCCTTGCTTCATTGTTCAATGTGGGTGTTACTTTCAGTTGCTTGGTTAGCATTATATTACAGTTAATAAGCAGAACATGAGAAGCGTGACAGTTGCTTTTCAAGAGATAAAGCAGTATTTTCTAAAAGTTCTTCATAAAAAATGAAGACATGACATGTATTGAATCTTAAAAAATGAAAAAAAAAAGCAATTGGTTTTATATTTCAACAAATTAAACAAAAAGCTGCCCAAAGCTAAATTTATTGCATATCAATGATAAACTGGCTTTATTCAAAACCAACAAAAACTGTTCTAGCTAAATATTACTGCCTGCAATATGATGAAATGTATCCAAACTACCACCAATACATATCTCATTCAAACATCTTTATCTCTACTAATTTTGTCTTGCCATTTTTTCAAAATAATGGGTGATGCCGTCATACTGTTACACATTCATTGTAATTCATTGTTCAGTAATCTTATTTCCCACCCCACCCATGAGTCACCACTATTCCCAAAACTAAGTATGATAGAAAAAATAATAGGAATCACCTGAGATGCAACAAGAAATACCTTTGAGGTAATGTCAACTTTTTAGGGATTAGGGAGACACTGTATGGGCTGGAAATCTTCTCTTAGAAGGCAATACAAAAGTGAAACCTAAAAACCTGGCAAATTCACAATGTTGTGCAATAGACAGTAATTCCACAGAACTCATAAGAAGTTATACTGTACGAGTTTGAAAATTCCCCAAAGTAGAATTTTCTATGTCTACATATCCTGCAAAGCTACTTATCTTTCAGACTTTAAAAACTAATTAACAAATACAAGTACCTGATGTCGATAGTTCCTTTTGAAGTGTACATTATATAATTAAGACATGGTGCTCTAAATCAAAAATGGAACAAAACATCAAAACCAAAGTGCCAGGATTAGTACTGGTCATGCAATTATTTGTGAGCCGGAGAAAATTGATTTCTCCCCCAACCTTCAGGAAAATTCATCATTTTGTAAGGTAAAGCTCATATAGAGTACCTTAAATAAAAAACAAATGGGGCCTAAGGAAAAGTTGTCCAATGCTGTGTATGGTATAATATGTAATGACAGTGAAATCGAGACTCACATGTGGGGGATATAAAAGGCAGCATGTACCAATACAGATACCCTGGCTCAGGTGACATATACGACTCACCACCTACCAAATTCCAGCCATACTTTTGACATGGAAGGATGTTATGATCCTGGACAAAAAGGAGGACTGGTTCAGACACAGGTGAAAGAAGCCATTCATGAGCAGGCTCAAAAAACCAGCATGGGGGCCTGAGATTCCAAATACCAAATCTGTGGGCCCGAGCCCTAACAAATATCGTGATCTCTGTTTCAACACTAGATTCAGTATTAGAATTAGTTTTTTTCATTATCTTAGTACTGGTATAATAAAACTGGATGAATCAAACCTTTCACTTTGATAACAGAAAACATGACTTTGGGACGTTTCCAAATGTCAATATACAATTAACATTTTACAATTAACAAGTGATTTTTAATTGGAAGTCACAAAGTGACCATAGTGCCTATAAGCATCCCTTTTGAATTTTTTTCATCTACTGATTGATAACAGAGGGATTATTTCTAGTTTTGTTGTACCTATTGGGGCCTTTTAGATAATTTACCTTTAGTTCCAACCCTTCATCTGTGCCAAGAAACTTCTTCAGTATAGGAAAGGTAGATAACTTTATTTGGTCCACCTTGAATAAAACAAAATGACAGATACATTATTGGACATAATCCACTGTCTGAGCACATGAAATCCAAAATAGAGCCATTACAATAAAACAAAATTGATTGATTCTAAATTCACAGTTATTTTGCTATTCCTTTTTCTTTTCTTTTTTTTTTTTTTTTTTTTTTTTTTTGGGGTTATGAATTGAATTAGTTTTTGTTCTTTTTAAACTAAAGATAGTAAATGCATGTTCATTCCACCATCCATCCATACATACATTGCTTTACTGGAATTTATGCCATTTGGGCACTGTGGAACAATAAATAAAAATGAACAAATGCTACAATATTTACAAAGCCACAATTTGAACAGCCATCCATTAAGCCCACAAGGTTTAGATAAGTCACATACATATACTAACAAATAGTTATCACTGTCTTTGTCTAAAATAAACAACCTGTGTTTGTAATAAAGCTAAACCAATATCTCCTGTTACTTATAATACTCACTGATGGATCAATTTGATCATTGGTTATTCCCCTCAAGACGGCATGGATTGGCGTCTTGGAAAATGGTGCCAAGCATACTAAAGCCTCCAGGTAATACCCTATGGCCCTCTGCAAACTGCAGTCATGTTCTATTGACCCTCCTGGCAGCAGTCCAGGCTGGTAGAACATGGAGGTGCCTGGAGTTTGGATAGAGAATATAATTAACAAAACTGAGAGGTATAGGACATTCAACTTGTTTTTTTTTTAATTCCTGGACAGATTGGTGTAAGATTTGGTTGTGTAAAGTAATCAAGAAATTAATCATTTTAAAAGAATGAAATATGTACTTGGTATGCAAAATAGACCTCACTGTAAGTGGTGTACATACCACTCAACCTGTCATCGACTGCTGGACTTCACATGAAAATCAATGCATTAGCACACCTACTTACATTTTTTTATATTTTCATTTCTCTAGTTAACAATGCCACATTGCCAAAAAGCCAATCAATTTTGCCATCAAGAAAATAAGATTCATCTGCTAGCCTACCAAAAATTGTTTGGCTTTTCAGCAGTGTTTGACTTGAGCGGGTGAGAGGTAAGAAAAAGATCTGAGGACCTTCATCCATGTTTCTGGGTGGTTGTACTAGCTGACCATCACTTTACATTTATCTATACCTATATCCTTCATGCTTTAGTATACTACATATCAAAAAGCTAAAAGGCGTGCTAACATGTGTAATTTAATGCTATGCTGGGCTGCTAACTTCTACTGTAATTGTTTAGTTCTTCTGTTGAGCACTTCAAACATTGCACATCAATATTAGGTATACATGCAAATCAGCTATTACTTGATTCCCTACAGGCAACAGGTACTAATACCATAAGAAACATTGACTAACATCCAGATTTAGGTATGATCACTGTGAACACAACACTAAGAAGTCAAATCAAACCCAACTGAAAGATGCCAGTTGTCATTTTTACCTGTTTCATTCACTTCTATTCTTGATCCATTGGTCAGCTTGTCAAGAAGCCTTATAAAACTAGCTTCAAAATCTGCAAATGAAAAGGTTTTAACATCATGATACATACTGTTACTTATCATCAGTTCAAAATTTTAAGTTAGTGTATGGCTTTACATGTTGTCAATTCATACCATGTCAATTCTAATATGATACATGAATATATAAGACATGTATTTCTTGTTAGCAAAATCATAATGTTTCTTAATTTTTTCCCTCAAATTTAATTTTGATTTTAAATGCAGATGATAAAAGGACCATTTCGTTTAAATTTCCTTACTTTTTATCATGAATGTGGTAAACTGTGGCTTACATTTTTATCATGCCCCACTTTGATAACAATGAAGAATATCATTGTTATTATTACAGAGACAATGAAGTCTTAAAACAGAATTTCATCACTAACGTTTCTATTTTACATTATATAATTCCTGTTTTACTATAGCATAAAAGAGAGAAGTACAGTAAAAATATAATAAAATACCACTGGTGACCTACATATTACTGTTTTTTTCTTTTGGGCAATCAATGACAGCTATTCATAATAATATAGGGCTCACGTGTTCCATGTCTGTGGATAGGCATTCAATGGGCTTCTGAAGCAGTTTTGCATTATTGTTATCGTGATTTGTGGACAGATTGGCAACAAAAATTTGTGATTTTTCAGAAGTGCAAGACAGGTGAAGGTTTAAGTTAAGAGGTTTGCTTGGAAACCTTTCAGTTGGTGTCTCCCAAACCACAATGCATCTTTTCTGCACCTACATCTTTCTTTCTGTGAAACAATATTGTCATGTGAAACTTACTACGTAAAAGTTGAATACATACTGTAGGACAGGAGTACCAGAGTTGTACAATGTAGAGTCTATAGACCTATATGTTAGGTATATCAAAATGCACCAGAGGTGCCACAATCATGTCCTGCATCCTCACTGGCCAGCCTGTGACCAGCGACCACTGAGGCACCTCGTTTAACAACCTATACAAAAATCTTCTCTGCCTACTTTTTATACTTTGTGAAAGTAAAGAATTATTTGTGATGATCTTATGCAACAAACCCCAATGAAAATTGATCAAGGCAAAGTATGTTTTAAGTAGGCACAAAAGCACTCAGTGGTCACAGCTTCCTGGCTGAAATGGGAGGACACAATCGCCCTAATATCGCTATTTTAAAAAAACTGTGATATTTCGTTCAATTTTAGAGATAACATCAAAATTCCAAAAGTATAACATTCTGGATAAAAAGACCTTCAGAAGATATAACAGATATATACAGGGTTCAACCCTAAAAACAAGTTTTATTGGATAACTTTGTCCCAGGTAGCTTTATTGAGTCATTTGCTGTGTATCTGAGGCCAGTCTTATTTTACTGAGAGATTAATCATTTCATTAGTTTAGATTCACCTGAAGCAATATGCCAATGGGTATCAGTGACTGACAGTACGGAGTCACACCAGTGTTACCCTAAGTGGACAACTTTTGAATTAGCCCGTTTACAAACCTCTGATGCCTGGGTCGTCATCTTTGGACCGTATCTTTTTTATTTTAACAGCTTTACCGCTCAAAGTTGCTAAAATCAACCTCTGGCGAAAGAAATTTGACCCCTCGAAACTTCGCATGTTTGATGCCATGCTTGTTAATGGTAAGCGAAGCCACGATATTAATAGATTTCAGTTTCGATCATTTATTGACAATTTTTTATCTTTTTAGGAAAAAATTAAAAATACTCTATATACAAATTATACAAATATGCATTTTAGCGTTATTTTTTTTACATATCATGAAATTAACGCACAGACACTCCTTCTTAAATTATGCCGAAGCTGAACTACAGCTTAGTAGATAGCGTTGGAAGGTGAAGGTCACACAATTTGGTGTACGCACAACTTCTGTGTCAGCAGAATCCTTTGAATTAAAAGCCCTTTTTTGTGGCTACTGTACATTTTTCTGTCACTCAAAACATACGAAATCATAATGTTAAGTCCATAATGTATACTGAACCACAATGTCCTCCTTGGTGGGTTATTTAGCCTACAGAGAACAAGGAATCTATCCTCCAAGCTTTCTCAGTAGAGCGGAGACGGTGAAGAGGGCTTTTAGTTTGGGTCTCAGCAAATACAAAGATCTGGAAGAAGTTCATAGAGGAGGCGTAACGTCTCTTGACATTGATCCGGCCGAAGGTAGATTGTAAGTATTGAAATATTTGTTTGTTTGCTCAAATTATTTTCTTGCCCATTAAAAGTTATCCCTAGCTAATGAGCAAAGAAAGCATCCTGCCAAAATACATTTACACTTACATGTACAGTATCTTCACTTAACAAGTGTTGTCAAAATGGGTATGTCTCAGATATGCTTTCTATGGATAGCTGTCAAGTAAAACGAAACTTTGTTCAAAATCATTTTCAAAAGGAATACCAAAATCATTATTTGGAGTTTTAAGGAAATTGAGAGATATGACTATAATTACAAGGAGAAGAAATAATTTAGATGACTAATTTTCCAGTGGAACTTTGAACCATATCATATTTGGCAAGTGCAACAAAAATCTATTTCTTATGCCATCATATGATTTAAATCTGCAGATCTACTGGTACCCATGTAAGACCTTTATTCCATTATCTAATACTTTCCATTTTAGCCTTTTATCTGGAAGTTCAAGTGGAGAGGTTGTCATTCACGATCTTCATAATACAACAGGATCTCTAAAATACACATTCAAATGTGTGGCACACGTAAAACGTCCCATAGGAAGGGGCAGGCAGAATGTGTCCACTCATGCACACTCAGGCAGCGTGGAAACTGCACAGTGGTACCCTTTAGACACAGGCATGTTCCTGACCAGTGGGATGGATTCAAAACTGAAAATATGGGATGCAAATGCATTAGTTGTGAGTACCTAGTTCACAGATTATTGTTTGTTTTAATATCCTTTACTTTAACAGATGGTGCTGTTCAGTAAATGAAATATGTTTTAAATGGAAACACACACATGCACACACACACACACCCCTCCCCAGCACATACAGAGTGGTATAAACACATACATAGATTTCAATTCATGTCCAAATCCATTTGTTGCAGCCAGCAGACAGTTATGAGTTTGACAGCAGCGTCTACTGTCACGATATGTCACCAATAGCAACCAAACACACTCTGGTGGCCTGTGGAATAAAAGGGCGCATCAAGTTAATTGACCTCAGATCAGGCTCTGCCAGCCACACATTGCAGGGGCACAGGAAGACTGTATATACTCTGAAATGGTCAACACGTGAGCCATATGTACTGGCCAGTGGAGGGTAAGTTGCCTCTCAAAACAGTTTCTCTTAAAACAGGTTAATAAATCAGTCCCCCGTTTCACAAAGAATCTTAAATCCGTAGTTGACTAGCTCGAGCTGAATGGCCTAGCTAGGTCGACTTCACTAGGTCGACTACTCTGCAGTCGACTAGGAGTGTTTCACAAAGAATCTAAAGTCTTAGCTTGGAGTGCTTACCGTAGTCGACGCACACGAGAAACTCTTCAAGAAAAGGAGGTTTAAAGTTTCAAAAGTTTCACAAGACATGACGTTTTATGGCCTCTTTCGGCCGAGAACAATTGTTAATCAACAATAACAATCAGCCAAAACACAAACAAATTTTGATTTTGAAGTTTATTGATTAGTTTAACTTCAATACAACTTCACAGTAACAGTTAAACATAAGCTTGTCGTGGAACACTGCTGACGGACGTCTAGCGGTCAAAAACATAGACAAACACGCGATCAGCTGGGTGAAGTGGCATTTTATTTTTTATTTCAATATTCCATAAATGTCAGTGCTATTCAAGGATATTATAACACAATATCTTGAATGAGGTATGTTCTTTCCAAATTTTTGTTGTTTATGCTCTCATTTACTGAGTTTTAGTTGAGCCTGCTGACTTAAGTCTCCTCACGAGGAGGCTTGGCATCGTCGACTAGCAGCTAAGAAAAAAACGACGTAAGCGACCTTTTAGATTCTTTGTGAAACGGGACTTAGTGACGTAACGACTTAATTACGTTGGTAACCAAGCTCTTAGTCAGGGAAACCGACTTAAGTTTTTTTGTGAAACGGGGGCCAGAAGTTGAGCTTTTTCTGCGGAAACGCGGAATTCCGCATTTTTTAATACAATTTTGATGGTTCCTGAGATTCCTCAAGATCTGCAAAAAAATCTGGGGGGATAAATGTTCAGTTTTTTTTTTTTTTTTTTTTTTGAAACCTAGGTTCATGTCTGATATATTATCCAGTGATTGTGTATCTTCTCTTTAGTTTGTGTTGACAGATTCATTGGGCAAATATAACTTTTATTAGTTGATGCCCATTATAGCTAGTAATGAAAAAAAAAAGAAAAAGTGGTTGATATTTGATTTTTTTTTTTTTTTTTTTTTTTTGCATTTAACAATGTGTATGATGCTGCTGTTCTGTTAGTCAGTCATTTATGGTGGTAATTTTAATTTCAGGGCAGACAGCAGAGTTTTGCTGTGGGACATACGGAGTGCTAAAGGCAGCTTCATGAAGCTAGATCAACATAATGGAGCATCACAAAGTGGAAACTCTGAACAAAGTAGGTATTTTCTGTCCTTCACATGTATACTAATAAATTACTTTATTTTGTAATTTTGGACATACAATTTAAATGCAATGAATGAAAAATTTTGTTACTGTTTTTAAAAGCTTCTTAGATGAATTTTTGATACACATAATCTTCATTTTCTAGCATCTACAGCACACAGTGGTGCAGTTAATGGCTTGTGTTTCACCAGCGATGGTCTCTTCCTTGTAACCTTTGGCACTGATGAAAGGTTAAGACTTTGGAACACTTCAAATGGGAAAAACACTATGGTCAACTATGGAAAGATCAATAACGAGAACGAGAAATCAGTCCAAGTTGCCATATCAAATTCTTGTGATCCCACTCTGGTCTATGTCCCAGAGTTTGCCGATGTGGCAGTGTATGATATGTTCAGTGGAGAGCGCTATCATACTTTACGTGGGCACTATCACCAGGTGACGTCCTGTGCCATTCACCCCAATACACATGATCTGTACTCGGGGTCCTTAGACAGGAATATATTACAATGGACAGCAGATAGGGACTCTGTGGAAGAGGCTCTTTATCAGCATGAACATCTAGGGAAAGATGATGGAGGTGAAGGAAAAACCGTCAGTAGAACTAGTCAAGTTAATGCTGATGAATGGAGTAGTGATGAGGAGGAGTTAATTAATGTGCCGCTAGAACAGTTTTTATAGCATTGGTAAGCTAGAGATTATAATGATGACATGGCAACTCATACGTGATACAGGATATTTTAGAGACTAGTAAAGACAGGAACACTATATATCTTTGTCATTGGAATGTACTCGTGTTTTGATGAATTTTTCAATGTATTTTGTGAGGGATTGCATCTTAATGTAACATTTTTTATATTGTGATGGCAAATGTTTTTCTTGATATATTTAAGAAACCAGATAGGGAAAGGTATGTCACAATAAAGTACACATCACTAAATATTGTCTCCACTGATTAATGATATTTTGTAGATAAATTTACCGTTGGAAAATGTAATGTAAGATTGAACATTGTATGTATAACTGCACCAAGTTAACCTTGTAGACAAGTATCGTCTATATGGTAACATAATAGGTTAACATTTTATTTTAATTTGAAGATAAGAAAATATATGTAAGAACCACAAGGGCAAAAGTAAGTAAGATTCAAGGGGGAAAAAAACGATATCTTTGGCCGCCAAATATTCTCACACGATCTACTGAGCCCAGTTTAGTTGATAGCAGAATTGTACTTAGTTGCTCTCTTTGCAGGCATCGAATTTATAAACACTTTTTAACAGTTGTAAGTTATATTGGGTATTTAAAGATAAAACTGTCTTCCTGCAGACGTCAAATCCCGTGATAACAGAGAAGTTGGCGATGCTGTGTTTCAGTATTTATTTTAATGACTATTTTTCCCTAAAACCAAACGGACCGAAGGGAGTTTAATCTATTTGCCTACGTCAGCGGCATATTGAAACGCCCAATAAGTTGCAAAAAAAGTAAATAAGAATAAAAAATATATTGAATTAAAAATGGCCGTCTCTTTTTAATTCCATCCCGAGTGCGACTGCGTAATTGGACGTAACGTCGTTTATGACGTTGAAAGTTGCTAACTTCTTTTAGCGTCACAGTCGTTTCCATGACGGAGAGAAAGCAGTAGAAGTGAGGGCTTTTGATAACAGTAACGCTTTGTCTCCATAACATGGAGTGATTAGTAATTTTGAAAGCAAATGGCCGGTAGAGAAAGAGATATTGTCGCCCGCATGAAGTGCGAACTTGCACATGAACGTGAAATGAAGAAGCTTCTTCAGCAATCGAGAGACGATTGGAAACTCACTGTGGCCGAGCTCAAGAAACGTTACGATAACGCCATGCATGATGATTACGAGTGGAAAATACGGTGAGTAGCCTTGAACGCGAAATATAGTGAGAGAAAATATAGTGAGGGAAAGAAAGAAAAAAAACACATGGAAACGACCATCTGAAACAATGTTATGTATACTTATAAAATATTAGTATGTACATGTTCCAGTACATATATATATACACAAGGCGGTACATCACCAAACTGCATTAATAATTATTACGTACCGAGTAATGTGGGGCTTTTTAAAAAAAGCAAATGAAATGTTAGTACAATGCGCTTAAAAATCACTATAATCGTAAAACACTGCATACTTCTATCTTGTTTTTACTTGCAGTTCATTCAATAAATTATAATGAATAGGCGCCTACTACGTCAGAATAAAATATTTGCATTCACAACAAGAGGGGGGTACTAGGTCTCGGATTTTGTCAGTTATTTGCTTCATTTTCATGGCTACAGTTATTTTTCAGTTATGAGACCCAAGTAGACATCAACAAGCAATTTGAAAGACAAATCCAGCAGTTAGCCGAAAAATTGAGGAACCAAAAAACCAACATAAAGAATAAAACAGACTTAGATAATATGGCCGAAACCGACCTTAAAAGGATGATAAGTCAATTGACCAGAGAGAAGGGCAACTTAGACAGTACGGCGTTTCTTATTCTAAAATAGCGTCAGTTGATAGTGTGGTGGTTGGTGGTTGGGATCATTTCATTTTAAAAGATAAATTTACCTGTTTTTTTAGTTCATGTTTTCAATTTGTGAGAAGATATGATAAAAATAATAATATTAACAGGGCGCTAGCTGAAATATTACTGTCTCTCCAGAGGCTAGCTCTGATACACACTTTCAGATGTGACCTTACAGCTTTGCCTTAAACATATTTGACATATCACATTCAAAGGAAGGGAATGTGTATTCCTTCACACAGATTTTTTTACTATTTTTCTTCTTCTCACACAGGTCAACTCAAAGATTTCGAGTGGCGACTCGACCAGGAAGCCAAAGCTTTTATTCGAGCTGACGAAAAACGGAAAATGATTCTCCTCGACATCAGCCAGGCTAAGAATGTAATAAAGGAGACTGAGAGGCAGTGTGACGCAAGACTTTTTAACATGAGAAAGAAGCACTATAAAAGGCTACGAGAAAGATTCAAAGTCACCTTGCCACCCTTGGATAGAGAGTCAAATAAACGTGTGGTCGTTGCAGAAGGGGGGTACGCCAAACAGGCAAAGATGAAAAGTGAGAAGAAAAAACCAAAGAATTCTTCTCGCATGTTGAACCCTAAGATGGGACCAGCGAAAAAAACTGCTTTAGTTAATAAATTACCACCTATTCAAGACGATATGCCAAAAGTGTCCGGACCAAGTGTTATTGAAGTTTCGTTTTCAAGACATAGAGCCACTGACGTTAGAAATGAGTAAAGTGGCGTCATGAGAGCGTTTTGGGACATTTTTCAAGCAATTGTATAATTTCACCACATCGAAACAACAGTGCTCTACTCGGTAATATTATAAGTGTCATCTATTCATAACTATTCATACTAATAGTATATGATATCGATTTTACAGAAATATTTTAGGGCAAACTGCAGCCTACTAGAAAATAGACCTTGATTACGATTGTTTCTTTTCGCCGTCACTAAGGCCTCCATTTAACATGTCGGGTACATTTTAGTCTAGTGCAATACATTTAACCTATGTTGGTGTACAAAATATACGACAAAGCGTGGAATAAAAAAGGTAATTTCTTTTATTTTCATTTCAAAATCCAATTACAATTTCAACGATGCAAAAAGCTGAAATAAACAAGAAATATACTCGCATTTTCGGATATCCGATACACATTTTTTACACCATCTGTGGACACGAGGCGAATAAACGAAGCAAAAAATGTCCTCATACTAGTAAAACTACTGCACTGTACTACATATAAACGCGTTTTTGGTGCTAAATACGCTAATATAAATAAAAAACACTCGCTTGAGAAAACGCCTTTCCAAATTCGTTTCTGCATGTCACCGTAGTTCAGGGTACTCCCCTATCAAAGAACATTACAAAGATGAATGGAATAAAAACCTACACATATTAGAAGATATTTTACTGCACTTTTAAAATGTAAATTTCTGTGTAAACCTAAAGCAAAAAAAAAAAAATAAATAATAATAATAAATAAATAAACCAGTGGGGTTTTACACGTTTAGTGGACATTGGACGAATACACGCTGCTTTTTATTGTCTAGCAGTTAAGCACTAACGCTTGCAGACTTCACTGAGATCTTCATGTTATACACAAAAACTTTTTATCTCTTAAACAAATAATGGGCGCGCTTGTCAATAATTTTAGTTGTCAACGACCCCAAAGTCCTCCTTTTGTTTGATACCGATATACCCGTGGCCCACGACTTGAAAAGGGTATAGGTAAAGACAAGTAAGAACATAATACAACATGCATTATCGTTTCAAATGAGAATGATTAAAAATTATTGGCATGTGGCCACCCAGTGATTTTATTTTACATATAAATAGTGCATTCTCCATTTTCTACGATGGCAATCAAATGTCTGACCAATATCTATCGATGATCACTGAAATATGAAAACAAAGCCACTCTTAACTTCAGGGTACATGTACACGCAAGCGGTGTGTAAGAGATGCCAAGAAGCATTTCCCATTGTGGGACATATTACTGTAAGCACAACTGTAGCAATTTGACAGCTTTTCCCATCATCTGGCTTTTAGAACGCAATTCGTCTCTGCCAGAGTAGTACTCTTACTGGAACAATTACAAAGATCTAACACTTAATCATTATAAATGTAAAATAAAAGCTTGTAAATGTACATTCTATCTACATGTGTTATTTTCTTAACTAAATGGTTCAGATGACATATTATATTCACTTGTAGTCATGCCCATTTCACACATTTTAAATTAAATGTAGAAGGATTCCATACAAGTTGCCCAGAGTTCATGCCCTGAATATGCATGCATGTAATCAAAGTCACCAAAGATGTTCACCTAGTCAGTTTAATGTCTCCATACTATAACATATAAGACTGTTGTTTATCCATGTGACAGCGAAGCTGAATCTTCAGTCTAGCAGTGATTCCAAGTAATAACATAAGAAGGCACAGATTTGTTCACGTCAGAGTCAATTTGCTTTGTGCACCTTCCTGGTCCATTTCTAGCTTTGCATTCCTAAAACCAAGTCTTGGTGAAGAATCTTTTTAAAGTGAGAATGGAAATCCAATGCAACTTGTACATTTTTTCATCCTCAGCACATTTTTTAATTCAATTAATTAATTCAGGTTTGATATCTTTTTACATTTTGTACAGAACCATCTACATCTCTCCAGTTCCTGTGTAAATTTCCTGTCACTGTTCCATGATTTCATTTTGTTTTATTTCACATCAAGTGTTCCTTCCATTAAGAGGGCGACTTAATAATTGAGCTTACTTTGGAAAAGGGCCATCTGAAAAACACAGATATACATTAATGAAGACATATCATTCCATACATTTTCTATACAAATTCTGAAATACATCTTAAGAAATTTTGGATTTTAAGGCAGTACAATGGAGCAAAATATTAAGAGTCATTTTTATTAATTTTTTTATACTCATCTTACACATAGTCACTTCATAAGAGCATAATCTTAATACTTCATTCCTTTTTATAAACAACAAATTAAACACCAGAAACGCTTCACTAAGATACCTAGAGAAAAAGCATTCCACAAATATGCAAAACACAACCTATATACACAGAAACATCTAGAACTATAGAATTAAAAAACTACAATATAGATCCACATAATCAAAAGCTCAACAGCAAAAATCATGTAAAGCAGATTCTCATGATCAATGTCAGGATTAAAAAGATATTCTTATATGAAAGATTCGGGTTTGACAAATTCATAAGTGATTCAGAGAAGAATTTCATCAGCTGTGTTAAGTTATAAGAATGATGTGAATTTTTCTTCAGTCAACATATTGGAAATATTGGAGGTAAAACCTATCTCAATATTAGCTTTTGACTGAAGAAAAATTCACATCATTTTCATAAATGATTATTTTTTAAAAAGTGAATGAAATTAATTTCCTTACAAATCACGTAAAATTTTTTCAGCTACATGTATAGCACTTTCAGTAAAAGATGTTCTACAAATAATACAAATCTATGCTTTTTTCTTTTTGACATAAAAAATGCATTCTTCAATAAAAAACACATGACTTTGAAATATATTTTGCACTTAAAAATAAATAAATAAATAAATAAATAAATAAATAAATAAATAAAAATAGTCAAAGGGGGTTCCATTGAAATGTGTTTATTAATTTCAACTTGCACTTTATATTATGATGCAGGTATGTGTGCTCTTTGAGTGAAATTTTTTAGTCCTAATTCAACTATTAAATGTTACACTTAAATGAAAAAAAAAAAAAGAAACTGCTGAATAATTGTGGTGAATAACTATGAAACATGCGCTGAAATAAAAAAATCTATATTGCAAATGAAGCATCCTGATTAGTTACTAATTAGGTGTGTTAAACGTGCTGCCTTCACTTAGCAAGAGAATTTCTAAACTTGACTTTTTCATCTAATGAGGGTGATAAAAAACTGCTAGAAATAAACATGAAGCATCGGCTGTATCTCTACTCTCACATAATTGAAAGAATGAGATACCTCAGTCTTCGTTGATGGTTTTAGAATACTGAAGGTAATAGAAGTGAAGTTAGTATCAGAGAGATATTAAGAGATCATAATCAGATATATACAACACAGAGTTTACACAATAATCTAAATCAAAATCACACTTTTCTATTCAGTTTTCAAGGGATCACAAAAAAAAGTGGGAAAACGACAGTTTTGACAATACTTTAACCTCAGAAACACACTTGAATTAACAAAATCTAAGGGTGCNTCGTGAACAAGCACCTCGATGACGAGTGAACAGTTGTCAAAAACAAAAGACCCAGGTGTGGTAGTTCGACTACTGTTCATGCGTGCCGCAAAGACCAAACCTAATTGCTCCTCAAGGTCACAAAACAATATCCGGTACTGACGGCTAGGCTCGTCTAAATCATATAAGTAGCGCGTTTCCACCGCCTGTGTTTTTTTTCAATTATCCTACCATTCCTATAACACGAACATGCTATTTCATGTATCTAGGCTGGAATAAAAGCACAATGGTGCATCAACCATTCATATACAAAGTTCATTCAAGTTCATACATTCATATAAAAACCATACTTTTATCAGATAATTACTGGCAATGCAAGGAAATGTGTAGACAGAAGCATAACATTTTCATTTCAAAGTTTCCAGCAGTCACTTGTAGTTTAAAGTACATGTGCATATATTATATTGTGCTTTAATAAATTCAATTTGGCCTAGAGCTGATAAAAAATTAAAACTCTGCCAAATGGTGAAACACAATAAATGGTTTTATAAATTCAATATCTTTTTTCTTAATTTTGACATATTTCTCAAAAAAGAAATTGAAAAGGTTTAAAAAAAGAAACCACTTAATTGAGCTTTCAGTACAATTAAGTGTTGTGGTGGTATTTACAATGATTAAAGAAGTATAGACATGAAGTACATGTACACAGATACCATAGCTCTATCCAAAGCTCCAAATAAATATTACCAAGCAAGGTTGCCACTTACCACACTGTTGCTGAGACTTGCTAAACTAGGCTGGGATCTCCGTGGTGTATTTGGAGTCATTTGATTAAAATAGCCACTTCCATAATGTGGCTTATTCATTTCGCCCTAGAATATCCCAAATTGACAAATGAAAAAAATATATCTTTTAATTTACATCTAAAGATTATATCACATTATTCTGATAACTTGCATCAAATGTACATGTAATTAGTACATATCTGACTGAGATAAGATAGCAAGTGAGAGAACTCAAAATGTTATACAAGGTTAAGTTAAGCTTCAAAGTTAAATGAAAGAAGGTAACAAAGAAACAAAACTGTCTAGTGTTAAAATTATATCAGGGGACCAGATCCAGGGGTTGTGGGCTTGAAAAAAGGGAAATGTGCAACAAGACACATAAAGACTTAAAGGTGCACCAGAAAGTGGATTAATACAGGAGGTACTGGTGAGGGAGAAGGGGAGGGGAGAGGCAAATAACTGTTTTATCCATAAAAATAAAATCAAACGTATTTTATTACGAAAACAAAATGTGGATTGCATTCTCTAATCATAATGTGCAGTTTTAGGGGCTAAAACGTTTTTTTTTCTTGGCATTTAGAGTATCAGAGGCATTGTTACGCATGAAAATGCCTCAATGTCTTTGACTAGTACATGTAGTCACAGGCCATACTGACACACTAAATCTACAATCCCTGGATACTGGTCCTACATTGTAGTAATGGTAGTAGGAGTAGTAGTTAGCAATATCAGATTAGACTTCTCACATCAATATCAACACAGAAAGATCAGGAAAATTGAAAAAATAGGATTCTCCTGAGACTTACAGGTACCACCACAGGCCCTGCACTGTGCCGTCGAGGTTTGCCATTTGCATCAACTGATAAACGATGGTGAACAGGGCTGCCCAAACTTTGGGTACTGGAGCGTCGGGGGAAGCCCATTGAGCTATCATCCGGGATCAGATTTATCCCAGGGCTCATTGGGCCTTCAGGGACCAGACTATATTGCTTATGGTCAGACAGGTCCTGACACGGTGATAAAAAATAAAAAGAAGAGGATACCATGTTGAAAGACACAAGACCAACCCACCAACCAACACAGAGTAGACGTAATACACACATAAAACAAATGTTGCCTCTTTTTTTTTTTAAATAGGAATTATATAAAAAGAGACACAGCAGGTTTGTTGAAGTCACAAATGAAATCTGTTTACATGCAAAAGTATATTTTTTGGACAAGGATCTCCGCATTCCTGCTGGTGACAATGATTTCTTTTATATATATATATATATAAAAGTAATTGAATCTCTATTTATATATATATATATATATATATATATATATATATATATATATATATATATATATATATCAGGTTATCATATTAAATGGAAAATATTACAATTTTACATACTCAAATAACTATATGCTGTTTATTTTTTATTATAAAGGTAAATAATTACTATTGGAATGCAAGATTGTTGTCATCAGAATGAACATTTCAACACACTGCTAGTATGGTCAATAGACTGAAAATATTACTATATATGAAAACTAGAAGTTTAATAATATATACGTACAGATGCTACAATTACTGCACTGTGAACATTTGGGCTTCTAGAGTTGTTATAAGTGTTAGTAAATTAAGGACAAACAACTGGGTATCCTATTAGTTGTTATTTAGCAATAATTACTGTTAAATACATAGAGACACATGAAACATGCCAGTGACTTAAAGTTTAGTTTGAAAAAAAAAATCATATAGCTATTGGTTTGGGAATTTTAATTGGTACTTTCAAACCAACAGACAAAAATTATAAAATGAATATTTTTTTTTGAAAATATGCTGCATATCAACTTCAAATGTTTGAAGTGCTTGCACAACTATAACCTTACATCACTTGTGAAGTGGTTTGATCTTTAAAAAATGCTATAATCAGTGTTGATCTTTGAAAGCATGCAAATGCACAAGAATAGAAAAAAATTCTAAAGATCAATGAGGATTTTATTTCTCACCCACCCCCTTTTTAAATAGTTATCTTTGTGAATCATAATTTAAATGCCATTGCTATGACATCATACCATGGTCAATAGCTTTAACTATGACAATATATGGCAGCATGCATACATCCATGCACTAATAGTAGTTATACAGAGTAAATGCATTCACTTTTTAAAGTGTGCAATTTTATTCTATTATCTACTAATCAATTTCTAAGCATATAATCTTTGGGTGCTTGTATAATAAACAGTGACTGATACAGCAAAAAGCAAATTTTAGGGAAAAAAATTTTCAAAAAAATTAATGATAATATGTCAATAAACAATTCAATGAGAAATTAAAGAAAAACTTCATGCTAAACATTCAGATTTCTGTAACATTGACAGTACCAAAGCCTCTGTATTAAATAAATAAAGAATAAAGGACAAAAATGAAATAAAAAAAAACATGATTAATCATTACTTTATAGCTTAAAATTACATAATAGAGATTCAATTACTTTGATGAACCGACAAAATAATTAATTTCACATTATTTACTTAACACCCGTATTAATAGATTTTCTTATTTCCCCCTAACTTGCAGAGCAGGGATATCAATATTTCATGCTTTTTGTCCCTAAAGACTTTCCTATTTCTATCTCTTTCTCTCAAGACATAATCCCCATCTTGCACTCAGACAAATTGCATAAAAAATGCATCATGCATTCCCTGGTATGCAGTAAGTCTTCATCTCTGAAACTTGTTTTTGTAACATTTTAACCACTAGCACAACCTATTCACCTGTTACCATCTAAGCAAGAATTGAAATACTATAAATTCTATATCTGACATGTAAATGTACATAAAGCAAGTGACAACACTGCCAGCAGGACCAAAGCAAGAGAAAGTGGTCGTGTTTTCCCCTTACCATCATACTCCGATGCTTAAATGGGAACAAATCACAGGGTCATTATACCAATTTCTTTTTTTTATACAAAATATACTGTATAAAAGTACTCTGAAAGCTATAAGCATACAAAAGCAGGATGTCCCATGCAAATTTGGATCCTTGTTAACATGATAAGAAAACACTGGTTTCTAGACATTTAACTGGTTAGTGCACATGATCATCTTTCCTTCTTTCTAATGGTACAGGCCATGAAATGTTTATATTGGACACATAAGACTGGACAAAACAAACATAACTTGATGTGAATGAACAGGTAAATTTTGTAAATATATGGTAATTTTTTACAGCAATGTACTGGTTACTAGACTAATACATGTAATGTAACATGTCGTATTGAATCTAATATATTGGTGTCTTGGTTTCTATGTTGTATAAATTTTGAACAAAATTTAAAGTGCATCTGCCAGGTCTTCCAATATTTAATTTTTTAGGCCTAAATGTACGGTACTATCCCCACAAAAAGGTTTACTGCTTCTGATGGATTACAATCTCCAGCAGCTAAACACTGATACTAGTACATCATATACCATTGTATAATGTAGCACACTTCATACCTTTAAACTAGGACACAGAAATTAATCCTTTTGTCTTTCTATTGGTGACTAAATGATCTAAACATGTGTCACTGATATCTATGTATCAACTTTGCTTTGTATATCCTGTACAATGTGCTTTAACAATAATAAACATTCTAACAGTAATGCATGGCATAATTTTTTTTTTTTTTTTGGGGGGGGGGGGCTGATGTTGTTCTGTTGAGGAACTATCAAAGAACTTTGCGAGGCAGGTAAATGTGAATGCAACAAATCATTAAAAATATTTATCAATGTCAAATGATTGGTATTTTTAAAATTAAAACTAAAATGTGGAAAAACAAGAATCAATATAGTGCATACGTAGGAGTAATTAATTCAAATCAGTTATGACGTGTAAATATTATAAATGTATCATACAGAATTTCATTCATTTTTAAATAAAAGAAGAACCATACTAGAAGTATAGCATAACATCCATATGATGGCAAATGTATAAATACCTTATTTGCATTGACAGAGGAATGGTTTGACACCCTGCGCTGTGATATTGGGCTAGCTGCTGTAAATCGTTGTCTGTCTTTCAGTTCAGGTGTGCTGGGAGCTGAAGGAATCAAATGTAACAAAATAATGACTTGAATACATTCATGGATGCATACCCCATTTAAATTGTCTCTAAAGGTAAGTGTATGAGGAGAAAAGGGGGGTGATTTTTAATTTCATAAACATCTGTAGTTCAAGTGCATTGGATGGAAATGTGACGGAGCAGCAAATTACAGGTACATGTATCATGCATAGGCATGCAACAGCCTATATTCTTAGTTAAGAACAGCTTGAAGAAACCAATTTATAGCAATATGTTGAAATCTCCTATTATTTTGACTAGGTAAGAGGGTACATGTAATTGCCTCCTCTTGCAAATACTAGTTATGAAACTGCCAAAGCATCAAATCTAATTATCAATTACCCTGATGCTCATATCAATGTTCAATGTTGGTGAATATGTGTTTACTCAAAATAAATATAGAACAGAAGAAAAGCTTAATGTTTGAAAAGATATTGCACTGTATTGAAAGGTTGAAGTGAGAACAGATCTATATAATAAATGAACAAGTAGAAAATGGAAGTATAGAAAGGCAGAAAAGATGGATTTGGGTATACTATCTTTGACATAATTTTGAGTGTTATTGACCAGAAATGAATTATAAAATATGACATGCTCAGAAAATAAATAATTATCATAAATAGATGAGTGTTGTGTGCATGTGCTTGTTTGACTTTTAAATAAATATGAACATGCATGTGGGTTAGAATTTCTTTGTGATTTGTGTCCTGTTGGAGAATTTTTAAGTTAATTCTCTATCAGCATCAAACGCATGTACAAAACATATATCACATAATAAACAACCAATAAAGATGCACAGCCATTTTCATCTAAAAGAAAAAAAACTTTTAAACAAACTATATGTATTTAAAATGGATATAAACATTAAAAGTCATGCAGCAGAATCAAGGTGAAAGCTTTACATAAAATGATAGCCCAGTCAAAACATGCTTCTCCCATTGATTTTGCTCATTGATTTTGTTCATGTGTTTTTTTTAATTCTATAAACTTTTTTTTACTTCAAATTTTCAGCTACAGGGATTTGTCATTTGTCTTTAAAATGTGATAAACCAACACAAAAGAAGAGTCCAATAAAAATGAAGTCTTATATGCAAAAAACAAATACTTAATAAATATAAATCACAATATAAATGGAAATGCTACATTTAATCCCACTCCAAGTTTCATGTCAAATCTGTGAAATACAAAGCAATGAAGTGAACAAAATGACGAATGCACCCAACTGTATTACTATAAAACCTCATTTTTGCAAAATATCCGATTTTTCCTTTCAGATGAAAACTTTGGTATTTATCCTTATATTTTTACTAAGCACTATTCATCCATTCATATTTCTCAAAAAATGTAGTTATCCCAAAATGGAGACTTTGGTCTCATCTAAAAGGAAAACAAATGTCGCAAACATGAAGAGGTTTTATAGTAACTCTGACCTGGTGAATGATTCTCCTGTTCTTCTTCACATTCCTCGATATAGAATTCGACGCGGTGTTCACGTTTATGATTATTGGCTAGTATCAAGCAGAAATAAAAAGACACTGACCAGCTACTTGGGTGATAAGGTGAACATACAGCACACACATTTAACACTGGAAGCGTAATGTATGCAGTAAGCAAATATTACATTTCAGTTTTATCTTTTCTATGCAACTACTTCCATACATATCAAACTGCATACGTTTGCATACTTTCAGACATTTCTTTAAAATAAAATCATAGACAAGGGAAGGTACAAGTATCTTCAGCAACAGCGATAACAGAGCAAATTAAATTGTTTGTCGTCTTATAATATAATAACTAACAGTCATGTGCAAATTTATATGTTAGTGTGAGCCAAAAAAGTAAACATGACATACATGTATATATCTACCAACTGTTTTCTGTAATATACTAGCTTTGAAACTGATGCAGTGAGACCATGGTGAATATGCAGCAGAATAATACAGGAAATGACACTGGATCTTAACTGTGCTAGCTCACAGATGTGAAAACATTCAGAAAGGTAACACATTTGCACTGTAAAAAATAGCCAAAGGATGAAATTGAGGCACTTTTGCAGAGAAACATTGTAACTTTCTTGTGTTATCTAGAATCTTCAGCAACTTTTTGTACAGATCTAGAGTATACAGTATATACATATTCACACATGGTTCCATTCTATATCAGAGGAAATTTTCAGTTATTTATTTATTTATTTTTTTTATAAAATCAAACAGTATAAAGATCATTGTTTGGACATGCTGAAGTTAACATCGTTCATGCATATTAAGTATTTTGAACAATACATAAACACACAGTCCACTGAGATGTTTCTACCCTGTAACAATGAGACACATTAGTGTTAATTATTACCAATCCACCATAATTAACAAATAGTGAACAACAGTGGATGACCTTTGAATTAAACAATGATGATCTGAACATTCTTTTAACTTGTTGCCATTCATTCATTAATTGTATTTAATGTCACTTATTTGAACAAGTTTGGGAATGTCTTTCAAAGTGCTATAAAATACATCCCAGAGATATTTAAAACAAAAGGCTTAGAGAAAAACATGTTTTAAAACACAGGAAGTGTACAAATCATCATTGTGATTTCTAAGAAAAATCCACACAATGTTATAAAATTCCTGCTAATCTGCCCTGCCACATAATCATGTTAATAATCAAGCTGGAAAATTACCAGACCAGAAACCCAACCCAATGGTCAGCTGTAACACAACAGAATGAAATTTTCAATTTTAAAAAGGTTTTAAAAAAATTACAATCATGTGATTCAAAGATATCCAAATTGATGAACCACAGCATATAATATAATATATAAAAGAAAAAAAGCAATACAAATGGTACAAACTTTTAATTTTCACATGGTAATATAACATGGCCTATCATATTCTTAAAAAACCAATCTTTCAAAATAAATAGGTTTCTCTTTTTCTTTCCGTTGTTTTACAGTGACCTAAATTCCCCATTACCTGTGATTAAATAGCTCTAAATTAGTAAAAAGCTGACAAAAGCCATATATCTACCTTGTTCCCTACCTGTCCTGCTTTTAGGATGTGAGACATGGTCGACACTTAGGAAATGTCGCGAGTGGTCTTTCTCGCGGCTTCTTTTTATGTCATCAATGTGAGCTGCACTTCGATGACGTTGCATACCAATAATATTTGGTGCAGATCCCCTGAAAATTTTAACAAAATTTCTTTTCATATTACAAAAATGATGGCTCATAATAATAAGCACTTGGCATTTAACACTTGATAAAAAGGTGCATTACAAATGATATGAAATCATACAGTTATAAAATAAAAATGTTTTAAATTCACTTGTCAAATAACAATCCAAGAAGCATTACTGAAAAGTGCATATTAGATAAAAAAAAAATAAAAAATATACTTGATAAATCTTGAAAATTAATACCAAATCAATATTAATTATTTGTCATTTAGTTTGCTCTGATATTAATAACTAACATGCCATACAAACAAATTAAACTGTGCTCTGTATGTCAAACTCTGCTCATTGAGTATGTGAAGATCAAATACCTCTGCTAAAAGGACATGGACAAACTGTATACAGAACACCAGTATTGCACTGAAGGGGTGCAAGAAGACACCTTTTTCCTCTGTCAGTGTGAACCAATCAAGGTAAAGACCAATTTCTTTATATTTATAAATTACACTGACCATCATGCTGAACATTATAGCTACATTTATTTATTTTTTTTTTTTTTGTAACAGGAAGAAATTGCAATTCCCTCCCTGTAATTTCATTACCATTTCAGAGAAACAATGACTTATCATTTTCCAAATAAAAAACTTTGAAACAAACTTGCTCCTACGAATAAGTACTATTTTACTGAAATGTAGAAATACCTGTGCTAGAAACAAAACTTCTACAAAGTGTGCAGCATATGAACACAGATATACATTTGTGTATTCTGCAAGTTATATGACTATACATGTAACTGAACATTGAAAATAAATGCATGGAACAGAAGTCGTTAGCTTAATACATTGGCAAATATTCAAAAGCATGCTTAAAATAAAGTAGACCTGTACAGATTATTTCTACATGTAAGTACTTTGAAAACATCAAACATACACTCGAAAGCTCCTTTCCCAAAGACACCTTTGTTTTTTTTACAGATGGACCCAAATCTGCTGAGACTCTTGCTGTCTGCAATCAGCTTAATTGAATAACAGCTGGCGATTATACGAGTAAGTGGGAAACAAGAGGTGGTATGTCATTCAGTTAAGCTTATTGCACTGACAGTCCCCACAGAGTTGGGTTGATCCATGTAGACCGATTGTGTCTATAGGGTCTAAGTGTCAAGCAAAAAGGTAGGCATGAGATTAACAAATGGGCAAATTGACTAAAAGTATTTGACACAGTAAACTTAACCACTGTGTGCAATGGGCTTTGGAGAGTAAACGTGTGTTACAGTGTAGTTATTCAAAAAATTAGAAAAACCTCATGCTCAAAGTATAGGAAAAAGGAAGTATAGTTGACATGCCATAAAATTCAAATCAAAACTTATAAATCATTTCAAAACACTCTCTCTGTTGGCAGGCATTCTCATGTCCAAAAATGCTGTCCACAACTCCTCAGTACACTTCACCTGCATCAGAGCAACACAACAATGAGAACACATCTACAGACTCAGAGATACCTTCTCAAGTGCCGGGCATTGACCGGCATCAAATCATTTACAACTTTTTGTTCTTGCTCTGGATAGCCATCGCTAGCAGACCTATTATGATTCCTGCTGTTAAATGAAGGAATGTTAGGGAGAAATCATTCAAAAGCAACTTACAAAACAAAGTGGTGATTGAAAAATGGCTGGTTGTAAAAACACTGATCTAGAGTCTCTCTTTCCTTCAGATGATTAACCAAAGTTTCTTTTGCAAGGTGGAAGGCTGTCATTCTTGCTAAAGTTACATGTAATAGTGGATTTTTTCTCTATCCACCCTCTCCAATAATCAAGTAAGTAGGAAAGAGAAACTAAGATTAGCAGTTTATGGTCACTAACAACTGAAAGCAGTGTTAAACTGGTGTAGCAATATGAATTAAATAAAACTAACAAATATTTGAGCAAATTCAGACTACTTCATAGGTATGGGTACTAAGTATAATGCATGCATTGCACAAGTTAAATTCTATTTACTGGTTATTGATATAATAAGGTATCATGGGTAAAAAACATAAATGTTTTAAGGCATATAATGCATATTAGACCTTCATATAGCAAAAAAAATTAATATTATTATTATTTTTTTTTGGGGGGGGGGTCAATTTTCCCTTTATTACAAGATATAGTCTATCCAAAATCATTCAGAAAACTAGGATCTATAAGCCTGGTTTCGAGTTCTAAATTTCTAATTTTTACCATCAGGTTTATGGATTATTAATCTGAATCACTTTGGACATGGTACACCTTCAGCAAAAAGTATTAAAATTGATACAAATTAAATATTTGTTATATACAGGTCTAACACTCACTAAGTGCCTTTAAGCAATACACAAAAATCTGGGGTAAAAATCTGGCAAATATTAATATCTAACTGCTCTTTATAAGCCTGTAAGATATTGTTACTTTCACAACAAATGAATAGAAATTGGATTTGTCACTATAAAAAAGCAAACAATGTATGAAAACATCAGTAAAATGTTAGCTGAAGCATGAAAGAAATATTGTGGGGATTGAAGAGGAAATTCTTTTTGTTGTGCAAGAAGGTTGTGTCAATTTTTTTTCTCAGGTAACATGATACTAAATATTTGCTGTAAATGCATACATCAATGTTTGACAGTGTTTCAACCATGTAATGTGGCTTGTTGCACCAACCAAAAGAGAATTGCCTGTTGGGGAGGGGGGGACCAGAACCTCATCAATTACTTATCTAATTCTTTTTTACCTTATGGTCTCATCATCATGCATAGCTTCAAGTTTCATCTTGTTCCTTCTGTTACGATCTATGGCATCGAACATATCCCTCAGCAAGTCCATCAGCACACCAAACTATAATACACCCAGAGGGGCAGAGATTATCAACACATATCAGCACACCTAACACAATCAATACCAACTGGGAGCAATCAATCTTACCACAAAATGTTACACAACACTATTAGTTTCATTATGTGTAGCAGTCTTATACTGGGATAATGTGCTGTTTAATGAGACTCATCTCTAAATATTGATATACAGTCAAATATATCTGTACAAAGCTTGTGATCTATTTTCCAAATTCTTAAGTTTAAATCACAATGCCAGCTAGAAGAAACATGCTGCATATACTTTGTCATCTACCATTACCCCAAAGTACACAAAACAATCAGAGAAATGGATTTGCAGGACTCTGAATCAATTAGGTATAGTGAGCTGCTACACCACGATTTTGCCCATTTCGATCAGTAGATCTCTTTAAACCCACCTCTTCCATGGTTAGTAAGGCATTAGTTGTGTGCGGAAGAAGAGACGGCATCACCTGCAGAGCCAGCAGAGCATGTGTCAGACCACAGCGCTTGTCTGTCATCATGTGGCGAAATATACCTGGATAACAAGAGTGAGAGTCACATATTAATGATTGATCTTTAGTTTTCTATTGTCATTCTCACTTTAATTCACTTTTTTTCTTCTCAAATGACTATAGAAAGGATACTTTGCTGTGATTGTAAATGGCATGATATGCTATCTATATAAAAATAATAAAGAAGCCATCATGTTGATGCATAATTAACAATCAGTAACATCTTTCCCCTTTTACAGTTAATATTTGCAAGTACCATGTGAATAATAATACATTGTACTTCATATACTTCATATACTTCTTTGATAGTGGATAACAAAGATGTGTAAAATAGGAGATCAAAACAACCTGTATAAACATCCACTTCAGAATTCTTATTCTAATTCACCTGTTATTGCCATGACTATTTCTGGATCTTCTGGTTCTATCTTTGTTAGGAATGGTATCACATTATCAGATATTACTGACTTGTCCATACGGTCAAGTAACCTATCTATACACATCAAGGCATTCATCTTCACCTGAAAGGATACTTCCTCCTGTTATTTGTGTCTATCATCCATTATGAATTTAGGAATTGGTGTATTCCTGCTACAAGTAGGCTAAAAGTTACAATGAAAGTCATTCTATGGCAAATATGTTAATTTTTTTTAAATGCAAAAAAAAAAAAAAAAAAAAAAAGCCTGTCAGTTACATTGTGTGCATTGAGGTTATGACCAAATATAGGTACCTTTAATTAGAATATGATATCAACTGTATTTATCTAGGAATGAAAACAGAGTTCATGAAACAAACTGGTTTTATCACCAAACAAATCTTCTATCAAAATCCAATATATTTTCCCTCTGAACACAGAATAAAAAAATCAATGGAGCACTTGCGCTTGCTGTTCAACTTGCCTTGACATTATTTGCATTGTTGAAGATTGCCTTTGCTCTGGGTAATACCATCTTCTTAATAGAATCCTCATCCAGATGTTGCTTTATAGCACCTAGGGCATTCATGGCTGCCTCCTAGGGACAAATTGCACAAGAAAACTGGCATGAAAAACTTAAGCCATGTTTAAGACACTGGTGTCTTTACCATCTTCTATTTTTTCTCGGAAAATGATATTTTATTATTTTAGTTTTGTCATCCACTAGAATAAGAAAACTGAGAGAAAATTGTAAAAATGTTTGCTGGAAGCAATGCATTAGATGGCTTAAACTGGTTTATACGAAAATAATGTTTTTTTCTTTTTTTATTTGTGTGTATGAAAGTGTGGTGTGTGAAAACGATCTAAAAGCACAAATTGCATTTAGTGGATCCATTAAACACACATGCCACAATACCATGTAAGGAAGCTGAGCTGATGTTATCATATTTGCCCCAATTTAATATTTGATTAGTTGAGTGCTAACAGATGTACAAGTATTAAAATATTTACTCCACTCAGTATATTTGGTAAACATAAAATACCACTGATACAGAATCAGGTAAGCTACAGTATCAATCGTATATAATCTAATTATAAAAATTAACACCCATACTTGGAGTGATCCAAATGTTGTATATTACATTTGTACTTCCTTTTTTTCAAGTTAGTGTTTTGGTTTCCCATTGTTATTACTGGTTATTTCTTAAATATACTGTTACAATTAATATGCAGTTGACTTAAATGTACAAAAAAATTGAAAAATAGCAATAAACAACTTCTTTGTTATTTTTCCTTTTGTTGGTATTGCCTAGTATAATATATCAGGTACAAATTCTGTGTGCACCTAACAATGTACTCCATAACCAAGCTGATATGAGGAAACAATTCATAAATATCACATCATAAAATGGGAAATATATTTGTTATGGATGAGAAAGAGCTTCCCTTTATTTCAGTATAAACCTGTAAGCAGCTCTGCATGAATCATAAGGTGTAATAAATAAGAAAATGTACAGACCTTGGAGCAAAAAGTGAACAGCAAGAAGAATCTATAAGTATTAGATAAATAATGCAGAACATATTCAGCACTCCTGATAAAGAATTGAAAGCACTTGAATGTGCAACTTACCCTTGCTAAAGAATTGTTGGAGTCCAGAGTGTTATAGAGAATTGGAAGCACTTGTATTTTATGAGCCTCCACGGGAGTTTTGAACAATATTATGTCCAACTTTTCCAGCAAGGCTATGGTAACCTAAAATGGAAATTTTAAATGTATCAGCATTTGGCTTACATTTTATGAAACCAATTGCAAATATCTACTTGAATCTTATATTTATGCTATCATTTTTCTTATGGGTATTTCCATTAATGTCAACATACTCTTATTGTCTAGGTAAACAACAAATATGGAAATAACACGGGCACTGAAAAAATGTTTCGAATATTCAATGATATTGGTACATTAAAATGTACAAATGTACCTTATATCTTGCTCACATGTGACTCTAAATTTTCTCCTTCATATTCATTTGTACTGGAATATGTATATTATCACATTTCTCAATCAGCTAGATTACTCACTAGGGCATTTTTGGGCATTGCCAGCAATTTATTGATCTCTGTCATCAGCTTTAACCTGTATTCCTCTCTAGATGCATTTTGTACTATAGCAATGAGCGGTGGGATGACGTGGACTAGCTTGTCACTCTCTGTGTACAGCTCATCCCTGATGAAGGGGAAGACATGTTGGTACAAAATTTTCTGGAAATATAAAAAAAACAAGGTTTATTTTATCAAGGATTACAGCTGGGCGCCCATTTCAGTTCAATATTTATTCAGTCTGTAACTTGGATTACATTTGTTCTAGACATATCTTTGGATATTTTTTTCTGTCTCTGGCTTAAATATCACATCCTAAGAAAATTAAATAATTTTGCATGGTTTCAAAAACAACTGAGAGCTAAGTCACAGTCACAGATTATGACCATATAATAAAGTACAAGATTCCACATTTTAAATATGCAGCAATGGTTGATACTGCATAATATAGGTGAGCCTCCCAGAGCATGATGCACAAAGACAGCATCAGATTAGATAAGCACAGTAATAATGATACAATTTACTGCCTGTTACATCACAAAAGACGTGACTGGTAAGTAATGACATGCATTTATTTACACATGGAATGAAGATTTTTTTCTTTTTCATCCAGGGTAACCATTATGCTTACAGCACAGTAGGCATTCTAAGCCACTTCTGAATCTGTCTGTTTCACCCAACAGCTTCGGGTATAGACATGGCATATTGAAATTTTTTGTGAGACATTTTGAAAATGGTTTGAAAAATATACAAGTTGTGAACCACAAAAAATAATAAAATGAAATAAAATTTTGGGCAGGCAAGGATTTTATGGATTGGTAAAATGACAGAAAATATATTGCCAATGGTGGCCTTTTAATTCCAACATAGTACTTGTTATAGAGGATATTGAGGCCTGCAGTTACTGCAATGAAACAGCTACTAAAGACCTATGCACCTGTACTTACTTTAGGAATCTTTGGTATTGTGTCAACTAAAGTTTTTGTGTAGAATGTTGTAACTTCTCCAGCATCTTTCTGTGGCAGACTGTCCAAGAAGCTTAAGCAGGATACAACAGAGTCGCTGAAGAACTTCAACTAAAAGAGAACAAATGTTGTTTGAGTCTTTTTAATAATTATGTGACAGTTATTGATAAAGGTATTAGTCTTTATGCTATTTTTTAAAAAATCCTAGCCAAAAAACATTGCCTGTACTGAAAATTAAAGTGACAATTGCCAAATAACAGGAACATTATTTGTTGTTATGTGATACATTACTAAACATAATTATCAATCCTTTAACGTGACAAATTAAAGCATCGCTCCTTCAAGTTAACTTCACATTAATTATCTTGACATTTTGCATTAATTTTATATCCAAGGTCCATCATGGTCAATTTAGAGTAAACAGATGCATTACATAGTACCCCATCCTTAATAAATCAACCATTACCCATTTGTACAAGAAATAATGTACTTGAATCAATATCTTAATGAATGACGGATCATAAACACATGTACCAAGGAGAAGAGTCTTGCTGTTGGCCTGTATCTAATGTCTCTATTAATCATCTTCTCCACTGGTTCTACCAACTGGATTGGGAGTTTGCTGGCAGCATCACCAAATGAGATGGACAGCTGGAATCACCATACATGCACTACATATTATATACACGTATATTTTAGTAACCTCAATATTTTAAAGTAAATAAATAATAACACTAATTATACATATATTCCAAAAAACTATTTTCAAGGGTCATCTTAATGAATATCATTTTCAGCACTACTTCAAAAGGGAATTTAAGGCGACCTGCTAAAGTAAAAAGTCAGACGACAATGTTCCCGCATTGGAAAGGGCATATTGAAATCATGTTGTTTAAATTCATACGCTATCAATTACATCTTATATTTGTAAGAAATCTTCATCTGAAAAAGATCCAAAAATGCCATTTAGTTAAAAAAAAGATTTCTCTACTAGTAGTCAAAAACACTGTTTGAAATGTTATTTTTAACCAAATATCTAATAACAGAAACCCTGTGACACTGTAGTATGGGTAAAGTGGGGATCTATAACATTAGATGCTCCCAAAGGTACTAAAAACAATCACTAAATGCAAAGTTAAACATGATTCTGCCATTTGAGTTACTTTTCCAGCCAATTATGACAGCCTTTTGCTTAAGCATTTTGGTTGTGGGTTCTTGCAAATATCCATGTCATTCTTACCAGTTGTATTCCTTTGGTATACTCTGCGGGGTTGTACATGGAATTCACCAGGGACCTGCCTCCATTATGGATGGCACATATGGTGATCCCCATGGAGTACATATCACTGACATAAAAACATCTCTTGTCCACCTGAACCTCAGGGGCAATGTAATCTAGGTCCGGTTGCACCATTTTTGAAGCTTTATTGGTCCAGGGATTGGCCATAAAAGATTCCTGCAGTGAAAAAAAAAGTGAGGGGGACTGCAATAATTAAGAGATTGTTATAGCATTTGCTCTTAAAGAAGTTAAAAGTTGGTCTTGGCTTTAAGACCAAATATCACAGTTTACTCTGATCCAGGATAAAACTTTGATTCTTAACTTATAAACAAAATGTAGCTGGCTGTCTCTGAATCAAGTCACAAAGTCACAAATGTAGCTGAATCAAGTCACAAAGTCACATAAAAATCTTTGGCCATTCTATATAAATTTCATCAGTATTATACAGGATTCAGGTCTATTGATGTTTTTTTTTTTACTAGTAGAAAGATTAGCCACAGGATACCTTGAATAATATGGAAAAATAAAAGTCAAAAATGCAGGCATGTGGCTAGTTTAGTTGAGGGCATATTCTTGTAGATTTGATGCATTTGCTTCCTGCTATGTTGCTTACGGCAAAATTATGCTTTGAAACCCAGTGGTTCTTGAATGAACAGCAAATGACGCCTGAAACTGTCGGTAAATAAAGTTTAAGTGTATTGCAGGCTGCAAATGTCACAGGAGCAATTTTCACGCACTTTCAGTACACATCCTTTTTGCTCAAGTTTTATACAAGCTCTGAACAGTTCAAATTAATTGAATCTCATCAAATTTAAAGTAATGTGTGTCAGTGCTTCTCCCCAAAAAAAAAAAAAAACTAGATAATGGCTATAATGTGAAAAATCTCCTGTCAAATTACATCTTGGCAATCCATGTTGGTGCTCTTTTGATGTTCTATTCCCAGGTGCAATTGCTGATCACGTAAACTAACATACAACATTAAGTTTGTTATTGCTTAAACATTTATCATGCAATTCACAGCATTGCAAACTGACTGCCAGAAGTACAGGGTGATTCCAAAATAGTATACCACCAAGTTAAATACAAAGTCTAGTAGAACCTAGCTGTGCCTTTACATGGAATCTATTCAAGACTTTATAGGTATGATTATATTTCACTAATATCAATGTCAAATGCGTGATGAGGATTTTTTTCTCTTTAATGCATGTAACTATATATTTAAAATCTATATAACTATATATGCACCTTCCCATCCCTGGCCACTTGGAGGAAGCCCATTCCTGCAAGTTTCCATGCTCCCCTCTTGCTGATCAGTATAGAAGATGGACAGACATTTCCATGCAGGCACGTCTCTGTGTTGTGGAGGTAGGATAAGGCTTCAGTTATCTGGAAAAATGTGGAAGCTAAGTAACAAAGTTGATCTTATTTACAGTCAAGTCCCAAAGTGCAATAAAAGTTACAGGGAATTAACCGTAGATGGCATTGACCTTTTTATTTGCTAACTGTTAGTTTGGTAAGGTTGACATGCTTTCAGAGGTACCAATATCGATGGAATCAAAATACTTGAGCTAGCAGTTCAATTGCATAAAAAAATTGTTTTCATCAAAAATCCCCCATTTTAATAAATTTAATTCAATATTAGATTGACATAACTGAAAAAATGGCTGGCATGCAAAGATTTATCTATGATAACACCATCAACCTCTCATAAGCCTCAGAATAAAATGTTCCTTAAAATTTCTATCAAAAATAAAAATACTAGGCACTTAGTTTCAATAAACTTACATAATGTTACATTAATGTAATTAAATTATTTCTTAACATAAATATTAATAAAAACCAGCAATTGTGGTTATGTAAGCTCCATCTGAGAAACTAATTGAAGAAAAAAAAACAACGAACATCAATATTAGTTCTGTAATTAAGCATTTGCAGTGCTGCCATTAATACTGATCAAAAACTGGTTCCCAGCTGTTCCAAGACATGTTAAGCATATAAGTGTACATGTGACACATAGTGTTCTGTGTGAGGAAATAACAGCTACAATAGTGACAAGAAAAATGGTACTTATCAGTCAGAGAGGCAGCAGACAGATAACGTGAAAAGTGTTTACATATGAATGTAAAAGAAATGATTTATATGGTTGCATATTTGTTTTATTGAAAGACACAAATTAGTGACTGTGTAAATGAGTGTCTTTATGACCAAGGTTGTGAACAAACAAAAAGAGAGAAATCTATTCCGTTGTAACATGGTAGCAATAATATTATAACACATGAAAACAGAGGAACTGATATTTATAAAAAGCAATGAATATATATTTAAATGTGAACTTAATAACAGTTGTCTTGAATTCCATAGAATGTATTTCATACCAATTTCTTAATCTTTAATTCACAAAATTAAATTGAGTTTCAATAACCTAAAAATGACAAAATCGTTTTGTACTAAAATAACGTACGTCATGTTGATTGCATGTAATCATGTAAGGTCCATCAAATGTTGTCAAGCAATTATTTGAGATTGACTGCAATGTGATAAAACTGATTTGATACACGCAATACGTAAACGTAGGTTGTATATGACAGAACATGACTTTCTTTTCCAGCATTACATAATCATAATGTACATATATGGCTATACTTATGTCACACAGGACAGTGGATATAAAAGAATTTTATTTTGTTGTGACTTTTTTTTTTGACTAGCATGGACTAAATGTCTTTTGTTTAAGGATATTGTAACCCTTTATAATCATCCAGATATCCAAAATGAGATTTTTTCCTTCATCTATTTATTCAATAATACAACTACTTTTGTGCTGATTTAAAACAATTTAAAAAAACTCAAAAATAAGAAATATCGGCATTTATATTTCTTGTTGCAATGTATAAGTATAAGCAACTCAAAGCTTTAATAATCAATTTAACACCTTTCTATTTTGAAGTGAGATAGTAATCGGTATATTGAATAACTTCATCCCTAACGATTTTATCACAAAAATTGGTAGAGTTGACTAAGAGTGTATGGGCTTCAATCCTGTGCTGTCATTTTGGTTTAAATGTTTTTGTTATGAAGTTATGAGCTCTTATTTACAGATTTGCATTAAATAAAGACATTATTTTGCTTTATCAATGATAAAATCTTAACCAAAACTTCTAAAAAAACGCTGGCAGGGTTTTGGAGTACTAAATGGTGTTATTAAATTGGCACTGAAATAGTGATCATGGGTGCTCAGGTACAATGTACAGGAGACATTTGAGAAACCGATTTTTCAGTTTTTGTCCTAAAATTGCAATTATGATGTCACCCATAAGATGACATATGTGTAAATGTTAATTAATTAAGTCAATGAACACTGAAGATTTTATCATTACCCAAAAGAATGTATGTAAGAAGTAAATAGGAGTTTTGGGCAAAGGGTGACAATGCCCCTAAACCACATGCTTTTAAACTACATGCAAAGGAACCCAATTGGTTTCTGGCCTGGAAGTGCTTATGAAACCATTGAGATAGAAATCAAATTACAGTGATTATACATTAAAATAGCCTGACAAGTTACTCAGTCATCTTATCTTAAAATCATATAATCTCCTTGGTTTCATCACAATTCTCATTTAATTCATGTGATAAAATTGCACATGCTGAGTTCTGCTGCAGTTCCATCTGGGTGAGATTATTCCATTCAAACATTTTTGCACAACCATAAGAGACCACTATGAAACAAATACAGTCTTCTTCCCTATGATATTTACATAACAGCACAATTAGTAAAACTGCGAATATTAATGAAAGCACTTGTTTTAGTCTGTACTATTGTTCATGCACACACTCACATATTGACAGAAAATATGTACACTTACTTGTAAGATTCCATACTTAATCTCCATTTCATGAAAGGCAAAATCCTGGAAATATGTTCAAAAAGAAATTTAAAGTCTATCATATAAATGATTACATTTATCATCATAAATGCAAAATCTGGCATTTATTGAAAAATAATATTTTTGCTGTCCAAACTACCAGTGATATTGGTTAACTTGTTTTGAGCAACCAAAAATTGGACAAGAGAATGCAGGCTTTGTTTTTATGGCACACATGCCCTATCAAAGAATGGCAAAACCAATACTTTTAAAAGTGCAAACAGTGAGAGCCAAATATAGTCTTGCAAATGAAATATCACAATTTTATTATATTAGCTAACAAAGCTCGTCTGTAGACAATTTCTGATCAATTGTGTTATGTTTATAATATCCATTAAACCATCCAAGCAGTGACAAACACAGCAATGCTATGAAGAATTGCCCATTTTCTGCCATATAAGGCGCCTCACTACAATAGTTTGAAGAGCTAAGCACGTGCCAAATAGCTTTTCAAATGGAACATTACAGTGAGTTCTCAGTACATCTCCTAACGGATTCCCCTTCAGACAATGAATAGGTCTTTAAATTGCTTTCATATCCATGTTAGGGACCCCAGAGGGTAAAATAAAACCCATAGAAGAAAAATTAAAGTAAAGCACGCTATTTCAACTAGACGCATACATTAATGTACATTATCAGATCAATAATGTATCATTGGGCAAGCTGGTCACCAGCGCTCCCAATCAGTGCCGTTTTTGATTTGCAGTGAGGCCAAAGAAGTCCAACTTAAATGCAGGCTACTTTCATAACCTAAAACAAAAATGTTGTCTACCTGTGTTTATCATATGCATGCATGCAAATGAGCAAGTCACAGCAGATCAGGTTTAACAGGGTTCTGTACATTAGAATTTTATTCCCTTTTCCACTTAAATAATGTGGGATTAACATTGCCGTGTTATGGGATAATGTTGTCACATCAAAAATACATTAGGCTGAATTTGCAAATTCCAGCTGATGACATAACAGCAGCATTTTTGGTGTAAAATCTATAATAATGCCCTCGCCTGGGCCCGTAACTTGAAAGCATCGTGCACTGCAACTGAAAACAAGCGTCTCGATTCCATAACTTGCTCATACTCACCCCATTTAATACTTTGTAGCCTCTATGTGATATTGCTATTCACAATACGCGATGCTTTCGAGTTACGGGGCCCTGAACAGCTATCATTGTCACTTTAACATAACAGCATATTCATTTTTTAATTTTCTTGCCTTAAGCCATTGTGCTAAAAGTAGTAAGGAAAGGGAAAATTATCTGCATGACTGACTTTCTTTGGACAAACCAGGGTATTTTCATAAAGAAATATGAGTGCAGGTACAAAATTACACACAAAACCAGACGGCACTTATCACTATGTAGGGCACATTAGTCACTCACTGTAAGAAGCCTTTCAAAAGTCAGGTTTAGCTTGTCACGAGAAATACAGACGCTATAATTATATATATTTCTCCCATTCAAAGCTTCTTGCAGAGGAGGATATAATGGTTAATAACAGACATTATCATCTAGACATTTCTGTCCCATTTCGATAAGTCTCCATTGACAACAGCATGGCCATACAAAACCAGATTTACAAAATAGCCATTTAATGTGCTCTCAGTCTTATTCATAAGGATCATAATGGGTCGTGTCAGTTTGAAGCACTGTCAACAACATGCAGAATTGTGCCAAAGGGTGATTTATACATACTATAAAATGGAGTCCCTGGCATATGAATCTCATGAATTTAAACAATTAGGTTCCCGTTAGCCAGTCTTCTTCACAGTTGACCATGCATACATCATCAAGGGACTTTATTACTTTGAAACAGAGTTATCAGTCTTGCTGGGGATGGGTCTGTATTATTTTGGATAAGAACCATTATGGATCATAAAGAAGTGATTAATTTTGTGTAATGGTGTATATTCAACATAACGGCTTACGGCTTTGCCAAAAATAAAAATAAATACATTGCTGCTTTCTATATTTATAGTTGTGATGAACTTAAAATAAACATTTACTAATGTTATTTCATTTTTGTTTGGAGACCACAATTAATCATCACTTATAATTAATTTGTTGCCAGTTTCTAGTGATGATTGTTGCCTTGAATCAATTTACTTTAATTACTGCATTTACTTCATCTTTTGGTTTTAATAGTTATCATGACAGTATTTGCTATGACTGTATTACCAGTACAAGGTAGATGGGGCATATTAAGGCTAGACATTAAGTTTTAATTGCCTATGAAATCAGGAATTTTTACATTATTTTATCTTATAATTATCATGCATAGGTGCACCTTAGACAAATCCTGCTTAACGCTTTTATTTGACAAACACCATAATTTGAATTTGTATGATTATGCTTGTATAATAATGACTTCCTTTTGAAAAGTGTGTAAATATTTCTGCAATGGTTGATTATAATATAATCTTATTTTCAGAAAATGTCCAGTATAATTATATCTAAAAAATATGATTAGCTTGTCAACTTAACATATTTAAGCATGTGCTCTATGAAATTTATCAATTTGTCAGTTGTAATACATCACATTTTTGCAAATAATTTATTTGAGACTTATTATTTGTGTCTGAAAGTTTAGTTGCTGGCTATCTTATATAGATAGGTATAGTTGCTAATTAAATGTGTGTGTGTGAGTGTGTGTGTGTGGGGGGGGGGGGCGTATGCCATGGACACTGGCAATTATTTCATAGATCATCAACCAAGGCCAAAAAGTATTTAAAAAGAACAGGGGTTGACCTTTTCTTCAATACCAAAAGTTTTGTGTCAATCTCTTATGGGTACTTTAAAAGATGTTACTTCATGGGGATAATACATATACTGCCCTATACTGCCGCCTCTCCTGGCCATGCAGTCAATCCAAGACTGCATTCCCATAAACCCATCTGGATCGATTTAACTCTGTGGGGCTTCTCCTTTCAGTATAATCAGCCAAATTGTCTGCCACATCCCCTTGAGTTAATAGGGGGTGTTGAGTAGGCGTGCCAGGCATTTAAGCCACTTACACTAATTGCAATTTAGCAAGAATCCCACAGAGTTAGATTGATCCAGCTAGTACAATTGGTTAATGGGAATGCTCCCTATTACATCAGTTTGTGATATCAGTAGCATGTGTTTTTGTCAAACCTGATTTTATCACAATAAAATCAATCAATTAAATAAATTATGATAATCAAATTTATTTTCATGGTTTTTAAAAATATCATTTGAAGGGCATGGTCAAAGCAGATGATATAAAATAATTGCTTCTCTGGTTCATGCCCAAGTCTCATAAGAATAACCTCATTTCCAAACAATTGTTTATAGTGCACTATTAGTACCACCAGTGTGTAATAGTTATTGTCTTTATTGTAAGAGATAGATGAATATTTCTGCAAAAGCCAGACATCTGTCAATAACTACATTCAGTTACAATGAACAGAAGTTTCCAACCTCCTTAGGGAGGTATATGTAATATCAACTTTCAGGGCAACTTATAAACCAGCAGCATGCATCTTTGCAGTCAACACATTTGGCATTTGAGATGTTTTTCATTGTAATTTATGTTCAAATTCCTGGAAACACAGAAGTGCCTAGAGGGGATCAAATCTGTTAAATCACAGAACGTGTGAAGCAGACTTAGTAACATCATCTTACCAGGCATACCAGGCACTTGCAATATACAGCAAAACATGGATTTAATGAAACCACTCAATCACCTTTACATTAAAAAATGAAAAAAAAAAAAAAAAAAAAAAAAACACTGACTTGGAGACAAAGGGACAGTTACATAGATGCCTACATATACTGTTCCATATTCCATGTGACCTAAGGCATCAGGTTTATTGATTACTCTTATTTTTTGTCGCTGCTTCCAATTGCACGCCTACTTTAATAGCTGCCCAAAGTGCACATTAAATTTTGAACAAGGAGCAGCCAGACTATGATGAAGTGAGAAAAGAGTCTCCTGTATACTGTGCAGTTATCTGCACAGGTAAACCTATCATTCTTTAAGCCAACATAAGTATAGATAAAAGTGGACAATACAAGTTGCCAAAAGGAAAAGAACCCATGTGCATCCAGTCAGAACTTGACAAATCGGTGACAAATATAGAGTGTAAAAGAGTGAAAAGAACTTGCACCATAAGATGATAGCATTCAAAGATGGGTTATTTTGAAATGCACTATGCACAATGGAGGGTGGGGAGTTAAGTATTCCTGCCATGTAGTCTTTTGGTTTCTTTATTATTTCACTGTGGTAAAATTGGTTGTGGTTAGAATACAAAACAGTGAATCATAAAGGTTTCCACTGAGCAAAAGTAAATACAGGTATAGACAAAGAAGCTACTTCTTACCCTTATTTCAGGTGGGATAGGTGTTGGCATCCTTTCTTGGTTACCAAGGAGATTTGCAAGACTAGCCAAGACTGGTTCAGAAGCAAAAGCAACACTGTCACTGAAAAAAAGATTCCAGAATTTAAGATTGCTTAGTTTATGATAAGAAACTCAAAATAATGAAGTTTTTCTAACACATTTATATATACACCTGTATCATGTAATACATTCACATCTTCATTTGGATTTTGATCTGACCAGGTTCATAGTCTATTGGAAACTCATGCCAATAAGCAGTCTAAGTACACAGCAGTGAAAAACCAGAAAAAATGGCCACATAAGTTGTTTTTAGGTGACTTTCCAACAGGTGTTGAAATTCAGAGTGACCATGATGCGTTTTCACTTTGATTTGTCTTTATATGGGCCTGTGTATATTTGTGGAAATATACTTACTAACACTCCTCAATAGGGTGGTAAACCTGTAAAATCTGTGGATGCTGAAAACGCTCCAAGTTCTTGACACATTTACGCAATACTTCTGAAACAGCTTCTTTTCTTTTAGGCTTATAAAGCTTGTCTGCTACCTTCTTGTCAAAGATGAACACAGAGGCTTCCTGAATTACAGCCATTTGATACTCTTAGAAATGGAAATAACTGTACTTTAAGAATACAAAATTTCAATTGTCTGTGATTAGTTTAAAAAAATTCATCTCAATTAATCTGCCTTCTAAACAGTGGGACCATTTTTAAATCATCTTGGACACCATTGACACTTGTACAGTACCAGGAACAGGTGCACTGGGCACAATCAGATTAACATCGAAATTACCCAGCATTCATACCTTTTGATCACTTTTTCTCACAGCATCATAGATCTTCCACACCATTTCTGGTCCTGCGCTGGCCACATGACGGCCAATGTCAAAGTGTTGAGTGATAGGATTGGTGCCATCACCTATCACTGCATTTTTGATCATAGAAAATACCTGCAAAAATAAAATAAAATAAAATATCCCTCCAATTAAGCGCAATCCAGGAATAATAATAATAATAATAGATAGCATTTCTGAAGATGCAGTAAAATGGAAACTAAGATTTCTAATCAGAAAAAAATGCTTTTGTCACTAAAAGTAAATTAACTTTAATAAATTAGCTAGCATTGCAACCACTGCTCTAGGATAAAATTAAAAGAAAGATTTTCTGGATACAAATTTGAAATTTCTTATCATCTGTACTAGACAAAGATTAACTTGATAAATAAATACAGCAGCAAGTTAGTTCTTTTTTTTTTTTTTTCAAAATCATGCAAGCAGTAATACTGTAGTTTTAGACTGCAGTATTATGCATAATGCACTGCGTGAACCTTGCATTAAGAGCAACCTTCCTGTGTCTTATAATGAGAAATATGTGTGAATCATGGTGATAATCACTTACTACCTAACTAATTGTACTCTATGTCCATGATGTTTCATCACATGTAAAAAAGATTCTTTTAGAAAGGTTCAAATGCTATGCAAGCCATAAAGACAAGTCTAGGCAAAGTTGGCTATGTACCGTCACATAGCTGTGCAGAATAAAAACATTTTTTAGAATACTGAAGTTTCTTCGTAAGATGCACCTTTTCCATAGTATATAAGAAAGAAAATACATTACCTCCATTTTTCTTCTGCGACATGGTAGAGGGTTACGGGGACTTCATGTCAAATGTGCTCAGTTCAGAAAATGGGAGGAACTCCTTTCAACACAGAAACTGGCAAAGCTAAAATGCAATTAAGAAAAAACATATGGTTAGTTAATTCTGCTGTGAGATAAATGTGGCAATTATGAAGCAATACCCAAAAATTTAGCAGTTATATTTCTGAAAAAAAAAGACAAATCATACATCATATCTTGTAACAAATTTCTGCCTCTTGCCACGTCATCTATGTTCAAATATATGGTGCATTAACACACACTAGCTCACAGCGATAGTTTTCACACTGCCATGTATTTGAATAAATAACACCATTTCATTTCCTCAATCTGATGAGCTTCTATGTCAAAACACCTGTTTTAATAATGGTCTAGGCTCATCCGGTTTTCTCCTCTATGTGTTCACACTGTGCGGTTGCCCCGATCCCGAGGTCACATAATACTGGAAATACCAAGGCCTTCCAGCAGTCAATCCAATCAATTTGGTTTTGACACTCCATTTATAATTCCCAGTTAAATCATCCTGTGGGAAGCCGACTTCCTTCCACATACATGGTGATATGAGGGTGGTAGTGGGAATTGTAGGATAGTTTTACTCTAAAAGGCCTAGCTAGTTTGTCATTTATGCCACAGAGAGAGATCAAAAAGATAAAAATTGTCTACATATAGCTCTAATACAACTAATCCAATAAAAGACAAGTTTACGCATTTAACTCTCCATAAACACTTGGCATGTTATTTTTTTATCAAGAACTTACAGACTATAGAGCTTCCTTTTTCAATCTATTTTTGAAGCCTTCATTTCTCACTAATACAAAAATGTCTCGGATTCTGAGAAATATTAAATGAAACCAATCTACAGGTAAATGTATTCAAACAAATAGGACGGATTCAATGATGATAATGTTGTTTCATTCCAAGTAAAAAAATAAGACTCCAAGATTATAATTATCATCATGTGTGTGTGTATGTTAATACTGAGTAGAATAGTAGCACAGCAGTAATTTTGAATTCAGAGCAGAAATATTAGCTTCACCAATAGTTGAGCTAGCTCTGCCCAGCATAAGCTCATGCCAGTCTTGATTCCATAACTCGCCCATACAATACATTGTAGCCTCTATGTGATATTGCTATTCGCAATACGCGATGCTTTAGAGTTATGGGGCCCTGCCCTACAATGGCAAAAAAAACAACTTCTAACTATGAACAAAGATAACCACTTTGCAGATGACACTTACTGATATCAATTCTGAACCAAAATGGTGAAATCTTTGTTGTATACATTTGGTTTAAATCTCTTTCTTCATATTGCCAGAAATAGCCCTGAATTACGCATCCTTAGGTACATTTGGAAATTATTTCTTTTCAAAACTATGTACTTTGAGAAGCCTAGGAGTGACCCATAGAAAAAAATGAAAAATGAACAAAAATGTTATAAATTCAAAGAAAGTAATACAGTCAGGTGTTCTTTTTATAACTCAAGCTGTATCTGTTTCCTACGAATCATTCACCCTAGTTTGAGAATAATAAGTAACAATATTCCTTTTTGTGCACACAATTTTCCTTTTTGTGTTTCCTATGACAGAGCACAAATATAGGTGTTTGTCAATTTTGATGCAATATTACATTATACATCACAGTGTGATTACCATTAGTTTTTAATTATGTACTAGTACTACTATCACAGTGGACATTCAGAAAATGATACTTCAGACCCATGACAAGTCAAAGTCTCACATGGAAAACCTTAACTGGGGAAAAATAAAAAAAAACTCAAACTTTATTTTAGTCCTTTAAATCATTCCTGAAAGTTTGAGAATAATGAGTAACGTATTTCCTTTATTGTGATTACAAACAAAAAGTACACAGCAATTAACCCATATGGCGACTATGACAATGACAGCAACGACAGATGCAGGTGATCACTTTATGTCAAGACACACTAACTATATCTCTATAAAAATATAAATGACTCAATCTCTGTCTGAATTGCCTTGCTGTCTGTTTTTATTTTTTCTTTTGCACAGTGTGTAGATTCATTATGTTACACTATATTGTGACGCACTGGTCTTATCATTACATCATTAAGCCAACACTGGCCTACAATACTCATCAAGAAATACATTTAAGAGAGAGAGAGAGAGAACCTTTGTCATGTGCAGTGCACAGAAGGTTAAGAGGGGATTCTTAAATCAATACATCCGCATCCGCAAGCATGCGTGGGTGTTGACAAATGGATTGCTGTAGTCTTGCCTTTTCTGGCTGGTTTACCATCAATGGTGAAAAAAACACTCAGAAACAGATCAGCAGGTGATTCTTCTCCCTCAGCTGACAGTATTCCTGGAATTAAACTGCTCAACAAAACATTTTAGAATCAACAGCTCTAAAAGCACAGATGGATGATACATCTTTAGCACTAACCATAATCATTCTTCTTGGAAAAAACTGGAAGCAGAAAGAATTATAGGACTGATGAGGTCAAATTCCTAAATCCATTGAAAAGCATTCAATGTAAATTAACGATGTACTAATTTAATGTTACTTTTATTACAAACCTTATGAAAACTGGATGTGTCTTATTGGTGTCCTTTAAAAAAAAGGCAGCCAAACTTGCAAATGTACAGTAACATTAGTTACCAATAGCAACCAATAGTAACTTTGTAATTAAGCAGTGTGTCATTTGTGAAACAAAAATGAGGATATGCCCATTCCCTTTTGTCTGTAAATATTCTTTTCTTTATCTACTGAATGTCATAAATATCCAGTGACTTTAGTTTACTTGACACTGCCCCCCCCCCAATCCCCCCATTTTTCATAACTATTTTGGTTATCCTTGTTTGAAAAGATGCGTGGCATCATCCAATAGAACAGAATAACAGATTCACATGATTTGAAAAACATAAACATACTTCACTCTAAATCAATTAACTAAGCTCTGCTAAGTACAGTATCATGAAAATAACTTTTTTCAAAATTCAGCCATAATTTATAGCAGGGAATTATATCCAATATAATTCCCTGTTTATAGTAAGCATTTTTAACAGTATACAGTCTGTGCCAAAACCTTTTTAGCAACAAGACACTCAAGCAATCAGGATCTAGCATAATATTATTATTAGTTCATAAGAAAATTTGATGCAGTGACATGGTTATAACTGTAAAGCTAGATTTAAAAAAAAATAGACAGCAAAGTTAGCAAATATACAGACACTATTTTTATCAGAAAACAGTCATTCCCATTGCTCCATTTTAACCTTGACGCACACAGTAAACAATAACTAGTGGTAAAATGATCTTACCATGCTGATTTATGAAGGAAACCTGCTTTTTTTTATCAAACAAAGCCAATCTACCAGTAAAAAATCTTATGAAAAACAAAAATATACTTTGTCAATATTAGTGTTACTGCTGTGCTGTAAAACAAACAACTTGAATAAACTGAACAATATTTATTCCTCTTCTGAACACTGTGAACCTTGATATCTGTATACCGTAAACATATAAATATACTGTAATATACGTGTACTGGTACATTGTACTTGTACTTATAGCTTTCCTAAGCTGACAAAAACATCCACAATGGTCTTTTACAGTGACCAAACCATCCACTGGTTGTTCGTGCACTCATGCCATCATATCACACCCAAAGATAGCTCACAAGATTAGAGTGAGAACATGAAAACTACTCCTAGTGCGAGAGCTACTCATGCAGTAACAATTAGAAAACAACAGATGTGTTAAACAGTGATGGCAACAATATAAACCAACAGTGTTCAGGATTTAAAAAACACATTTTGTGACTATACATAATGAAATATGAAAAAGGGAATGTATGTATAATGTATGTTTAAAAAACAATTACAATTTTGATAAAATTTAACTTTATTCTAAATAAAATCATTGGTATGAAAAAAATTGAATGCTCTTTGAAATGAAACCATTTCCAGATGGAGAACAGGTGTTATTGCATCTCACATAATGGCTGATAATGAACACAAGTCTTTTTCAACAAGCTTATGTATTTAACCATATAATAAACTGCCATGGAGGCTGGACTGCTAATTGACTGCATAACAGACTGCTAGGGAAGACTGAAAAGAAGATAAAAGCCAGCTAACAGCAGACAGTATATGTACTGGCTGGATTATGACTTCCTTCCTATGGCAAAAGTTAGCAGCTAGATACAATTGGCATATGTTCATAAAGGTTGATTGGAAACAGAACTGACAGTGAAGAATATTGGAATTTAATATGAATAACATTGTCTCTACATAAATGGTCTGAAAAAAAATCATTGAATAGAATTTTGGTCTGGTACCATCTAGAAATTAATGTCTTGATCATCCTGGTATATTTAAATCAATATTACAAAATGTTTGTATTATAAAACAATAAAAATGAAGCCCAGTGCCTGCCTTGCACATCTAAATGATATGTAGCTTCTAAACCATGAATTCAAATTGGCAAGCTCTACAAAATGCAACAAACAAGAGGTCTCTAGCATTAACGTTAACAGTTCCAGAATTAGAGAGAGTTTTCAGTTTTGGCATCTAATGGCTGCTTCTCCCGTGATATAATACACCCACTGACCCAAACCTAAGAAGATGAAAGATGACCCAAGTTTAACAACTGCCCATAATATTATAGGTTAAGTCCATGTCTATAGTTTCTAAAAAATTGGCACAAATAATTTTTTTGCAAAAGAAAAAGAGAATTATTACAAAAATATGGACTGTTTGACCTTGAAATAAAGGTCAAAGGTCAATCCAAGAGCATATTTGAAATTTCCACATGACTTTCGGACAGGCATCTATAGTAATTTTTCCCATATTTCCTTTGGTTTGGGAGATATTTAGCATTTAATTTTGCAAATTTTGGACAAGGGTACATTGTGACAAGTGCCACACCTAGACCAGTGCATTGACAAAGCCCAAAATTTACATGGTTCGAGTTAAGATTATATGTGACCTACATACAAGAGATGGGAACACAGAATCTTGTACTCTAAGAGGGGAAGCGGTAACGGTGATGTGACGACAGACCCTGTGGAGCAGGCAGACCCAGTGGAGCCAGTGGACAAGACATGTCAGGACTAAAACCATGTGTACTGCCAGTGCCGCACTGGTAGTACAGTTAAATTAAGGGATAATAACTCTTCGTTTCGGCCAAAAAATTAATTTTCCTGGAGTAAACAACAATTTTCCCATACTTACCAATGGTTAATGAATCCATTTTTACATTCAAAGTTAGTCCCTGGTTTTTTTCTAAAAAGTTTGTTTTTTTGTTAAAATCTCTTAAGAGATTTTAACAGAGTATAGCCATCAGTAGAGGTTACGTGGTCTAAAAACAAGCTCAGATATCAGAAAAAATACCTATAAGTTATAACTGCCGTTTTTGTGGTAAAACAGAATATATTATATTTCTATGAGTTATTCACAATGTTTTTATTGTGAAATATAGATCTCATACGAAGAGTTATTATCCCTTTAAGATACTTCAGAAAAAAGATAAGGTAATGATTCTGAAGAGAGCAGTATGATAATATATGTACAGTATGACACACGTTTATCACAGAAAATTCCAGCTTCTGAATGAATGCTGAAGCACATTTTATATAACACTTGATTACCATTTTAAAAGAACAACCAATTTTTATAACACTAATTTCTGGACAACAAACTCCTCGTGAATAATGAAATGACACATGAAAGTTCCCAACCATCAATACATTGATTGTGACTTGAGGAGTATTTTTCTATCACCAAATCAATGTATGCATACAGAGGCAATCAATGAATGGAAATAACCAGTTTTAACAACAGTTTACCATTACTATAGTCACTTGCAGCAATCCATTATAACACTACATTATATTTATTGGTTCCCTGTATTTTAGGGAAACAGAACACAACAAACAGATGAAGAATGGTTACTTTCAATATATGCCAAACCATATTCTTTCCACTCAAAGCAAAATCAAATCAATAGAAGCTACAAGCAAAATGTTTGGTAGACAGTATCATTTGAAAATTCCCTGAAATTCAAACATTATAGCTTTGAATTACCTGTACAAATCTGCACACATATAAGGTGTAATTTTCGCATTTAAAGTGTAATTTATCGAAGTATAGTTATTAAATGTCCTACTTCAGACTTAATCCACCTAATTGTGCCACTTCAAAATGGCCAGCAGACAGGCCTTTAAGTATAGGGAATCCCTCATGCATACTCTTCTTTCATTGAAATTGCATTCCTGCAATAGTTTATGAGAATGCAATACAATCCTCTTCTGTTTATATGGAGCCAATTGGCCGATTATTTAATTGTTCCTAATCAAAGGCAAGCAGTCTCTGATTACTTTGTTTTATAAATTTTTAATGTTTATTGACTCTGGGATTTGCTATAAATAAGCCTCATTAGTCCACACCTAGTTTCTCACTGTCTGCTGCTCTCTACTTTTATTGACCCTGTCTCTTCCTAGGTATCTCAGAAACCAACTTCACTGCATCGCCAGGTGGTTCACGTTTCACTGGCACACCTTTCTCAAGGGGGTTATGGAGAATACAAATATAAAGTACTAGTTACTGTAATCCTATTATGGCCAAATCAATTCCTACCATACTACTACACCATGCTGCCACACCAACTGAATAGAATGAGTGGAGCGATAGAGGACTGTTCAAAGGACTATACACACAGTTGTTTTATCGATGGTTGTAGGTTTTTTTCTCACTGAATAAAATTAAAAGTCTACTTAAACTGTAGATTCAGTCAGCTTAGCATGACTCATCTTACTTTAAAGTCAAAGCAGAAGGTGAAGCTCACGGAGCTCACACTCAATTGTGCAAAGTAATTGTTGTGGAGCAAGATAAGTGCTTCTCTGAATAACGACAAGATCGAAGACATTTAGCAAAACTTTTGTAATGCAACTTTTAAAATTGCCAACTTGAGTACTTGAACAACACCCCAAAAAACTCAACAGAATATCAATTGTAATTTGGATGGTTGCACATGTCCTTTACATTTCCCGCTTATTTTTCATCTGCAACAGCAGACTTCAAGATGAATATAGTAATGACTCAATCTTTTCAACGGGAAAAATTGTAAATTTTACAGATGCTGTATATTTCAATTGATAGATTCTTAAAGTTTGAACATTCTTATTCAGTTGTAGCAATGCAGGCTACCCACATATGCAATTTTAATGATACTTAAATTATGTATCTGAAAAATTGATAATTTTTACCCATTGAAAAACTTGAGTCATTGCCATACATTTTGGTCATTTTTCTAACCATACTTAAACCAATCCCAATTTTGAACTACTCAACAGATATTCTGAGTATTTTAATATTTTAATATTCAGAATATTTAAAAATACCAACTGTTGTCTATTTAATTACCATGGTGGAAAATTTGATATGTTTTTATTTATTATAGTAAATGCCTATAACCAAACATTAGGTATATTAAGTTCCAAGACAATCACGTTTCACCATGTAGTGCTAAATAATCCAACATATGGCCTACAATGAGCACCAGTGTTGATAATTAGGTTCTGATATTCTTTTTCTACCATGATACACTGCTAGTAAGAACTCAAATAACCTCAGCGACTTGTTATATTTCAAGTCACTTTGGCATATCAAATAGTTTCTCTCTAATGGGTCCTAATGCAACTTGGAGGATGACTGCTGTTTTTTGCAGCCACTACCCAACAAGCATTGCAGAATCACAGGACTTCTTTGGCATTAAGTACATATGTAGGGGCTGAGGCAGGTTATATAGCATACAATGGAAGGTCATATTTAGTTTCAACACTATAATGCATCATAGATGTCTTAAATGTGCTGATAAAAAATTAATTCATCTAGGAGAAATGATTAATTCACATAAAAAAACGAAAAAACTGAAAAAATATCAGTGTTTTAAATCTGGTGGTGATGGCCCCCAAATTGTTTCAAATAGATCACTCAGACTTGTCAATGTACACAGTTCCATAAAGCACAATTGTTCTGTCAGTGTTGATTATCTAGTCACTTGTTACTGTTCAGAACCAGAATCGACAGAATTACATGCTCGGCTCCTTTACCTGTTGTGTGTGTGTATGTGTGTGCACGCACGCGCATGCACTCGCTGCCGCCATGCCTTGGTGTTTTGATATTTAGATCCCCTAGTGAGATATATAGTTATCCAGAAACCCACAAAGATGCAGAGGTTTATGGTTATATGCTGATAATGAAAGTAGCCTAATTTGGTAATGGCTTGTTCAGCAACCAAATACTCCCCAGAGAAGCAATCAAGCACATAACAAGCTCATGTATATATTAAATTACAAGGTTTTTCATTTCCATTTATTAAATAAGTAATTTTTTTATTATTTCATTTCATATTACTAATTATAACATACCAAACACAAGTTTGTTCATAAAACAACATGTGAGGTATCACCAAGAATTGTTAAAACTTACAATCATTTCAATTACTATTTTTTCTTTTTTTCCACAATGCTCATGCCAAACTTATATATGATTACTACTGCTGGTCAAGACGTCAAATATTTAATATTTTTTATCAAGAACACACATTCAGGACATGCATCCATTTTGTCAAATACATACTTTTAACATAAAATTATTTGAATGGCCATCTGACTGAAACTATACACCTGCTAATGAGTATACACTCAATAAAAATATTCTCATTTACCATTGTAAGCCTTGATTTTCAGATGAATTTAAGAGTTTTTTTTTTTTTTTGCCACAAAAGTGACTTAAAGACTTACCTACAATATGCATTAATCCAATTCACAGAGTATCATGAGTTCAACAGAGGTCAAGCTATCCGTGAGGATGGTTTCCAGTGAGATAAAGACCAGGTAAGCTTCCTCAATGTGTAGATGATTCGTTCTGACCTGTTCTACCAGATTACAAGTACATCACAGCCTGGAAAAAAGAAAATTGCTACTTTAACAAAAGATGACTGATCATAAAAGTACAAGAGGTGATTAAAGTATAATATAGCACAGACACTCAAGACCTTCGTTTATTGCCACCTAGAGTGACATGAATACAATCAATAAATTCCTTATGCAGCAGTGTAAAAAATAATATATATCAGCCACTACACACACCTCCTGTCCACAAATTTTCCATGAAATCAGAATGGATTATACACGTACTCACAATTTCAATGAATTCTAGAACATTCTAGGTTCTGAGCACTCTGAGCATAAGGGCACCAACCTACACCTAGCTGTGACATACAGCACAGTATCTAATTGCAGTTATTGCATCGTATAACTAATTTATTTCCCACAAACTATTTCATTTTTGTCTGTCTGTCTGTTGTAAATTGCAAGGTAACCGATAAGATACTGACAGACATTCAAATAACTTTCAGAAAAGCCTAGGAAAGGACAGACTATTAATTAGATTTTTTGGAAAGAAATTCTAGCACTATAATGCACTGAGAATTTTTTTAAAGTTATAAAAGCAATAATAACTCTTCCTTTGAGATTCAAAATTTCGCATGAAATACATTGTAAACAACGCATGGAAATATATTCTATTGTATTTTACCACTAAAATGGCCGTTATTGTAGTAAAACTAAAATCTGTGCTTGTCAATGGGGCTTTCGATGCTTTTCTTCCCAGTCATCAAGGCATTCGTTGCTAATGACGTAATGGTGTCACGCGGATTCTCGCGTTCATTCGAGACCAAAATAACATGGCGCCAAACACATTAATGCGGACGCAGACGTAAGTTACGAGTTTTTGTACAGTGTGTCGGATAACCAAAAGCCCAGAATGGCACACATTGTGGATATAAATGCATTTTTAACAAAAAGACGAATATATCTCATGAATCTTATATAGTGTTGTTGTTGTCTGCTTTTCCCGCGGTTTTAAGTAGGTCACCAGTTATTTTGCAATGTCAGAGAGAGCTCCGTCAGTTAAAATCTCTTAAGAGATTTTAACAAAAAACCGTACGTTTAGGAAAAAAACCCTGGATTAACTTTGAATGCAGGAATGGGGTCGTTGACCATTGGTAAGTACGGGAAAATTGCTGTTTTTTCTAGGAAAATCCAATTTTTGGCCAAAACGAAGAGTTATTATGACTTTAACTCTTGTTTACCAGTTATGCCTGAAATACAAATCTTTTACAGTATAACACAGGGGCAGACCCAGAGCTATTTTCTGACAGTCTTCCAAATTATTTTTGTTGATCCATCCTCCAATTTTTACATCTTCCAACAGAACAAATTAGATACCCGTCAATGTAATCTTGAAAATCTGACCGTCTTCCTGAAGACCCAGAAGACGGCCTAAATCCGCCCTTGTAACAGAATTCATAATTGTGGAAACCTATGAAAATATGCACAGTCACAGTTTGTATCTTTATGCTTTTTTTTAAAGGAATAAATAAAATAAATATAAGCAAAAGTTATTCAACAGACCAACCATCAACATTACGTATTATGATTGTTTTCTCTCAAGTTCTGTCTAATTACAGTCTACTGTTCAATAGTACAACTTCATCATGTTTTACATATATATAGATATATCATTTTGTCCTGCTTGAGATGACAAACCCTGTCTATGAAGGCTTCATCCTTATAGCTGAAAAGTTCACCTCACTTCACAAAGATTCTTGCATGATTGCTAGTCTTATATGATATCAAGCAGACCCAACAGCCTTATTTTTGGCTTTCTTGAATGATTTCCATTAACTTTTATGCTACAGTTGAGTGCAAGAAGTCTTCACAACAAACACCACAGCACACTATATGATTATGATTGCAGTTTTTCTTCCTGCGCTTGAATATTTTGGCACAGCTTTGTTAATTTATATATTTTAAAAAATATTTAAGTACACGGTGGCTTCATAAGTGGAATTCTAGGAAAATCATCCACTTAAGATATAATGCTCACACTGCTTATTATTTGTTTATAAGACATACAGGCATTTATTCAATATGTATGCAAGATGAAACTTTTTTCATATATACTCAGGCAAAAATGAGGTGATGCATAAAAAAACATTCACCTAGTACAGAATTATTGATTGTCTGACAAAAAATAATCAATGCTTCAAATAAAAAGAAAAAAAATCCTGATACACTTCAATGAATCACAGGAACACTACTACATTCTAGAATAAATAAAAAAATGATTGTTTCCAAATGCATGGAAACCTTTTCAACTTATAATTATTCCCTATAGAGAAAGTGCCATCTCTGTGACCTTTCCTTCCATACAATGAGAAGAATTTTCTTTGAAGTTCCTCAACAGAGAATCCCTACACCTTTCGACTGAATCTATAATAAAGTAACTTTCAGACATCGATGAAACCTTTTAAGTTTGGTGCATTAATCCCATTATGTGATGAAGTCTTTGAGTATAACGTCTAAAGCTGCTGTCTGTATTTGCCCAACTTAACATACATCTTTCCAAAAGTACCTTAAGTTTTTATATTCAAGAGTAAATTACAATTTGATTCCATTTAATAATTTAATACAAAGACAAACAACACTGAAAAGATACTGCATGGTTGAAAATAGTACCAGTGACTAAGAAACCTTCGATGTTTGACATGGGCTACTGGGAAATTTACACACAGAACCATTCTTAATCAATGTGTATATGTGTATGTGTATGTGTGTGTGTGCATATGTATGTGCATATCTACGTGTGTGTGTGTGTGTGTGTGTGTATGTGTGTATGTGCCTGCCTGCCTGCCTGCCTGCCTGCATGTGTAAATAACTGAGAAAACTGGCTGTTCATCAGTCCACTACAATGTACCAAATTTACTACTGGGAAATTTACACACAGAACCATTCTTATAATCAATGTGTATATGTGTATGTGTATGTGTATGTGTGTGCATGTGCATATCTACGTGTGTGTGTGTGTGTGTGTGTGCCTGCCTGCCTGCCTGCCTGCATGTGTAAATAACTGAGAAAACTGGCTGTTCATCAGTCCGCTACAATATACCAAATTTTAGTAGTCATGAAGTTCACTTTGTAACATGGTGAAAATGGCAAACGAAAATCCTCAAAGTCCTGATTTCAACACATATAGCCAAACATAATCTTTAATTCTCACAGACAGAAAGAATAATCAAATACGAACAATTTAAAAGGCAGTTGCTTTCAAGCAGTCTCAGGAAAAGGATTCAGATAAACACTCAGTGGAACGTCAAGAGTTTTGCAATACTACATTCACTTCTGATCATGAAATATTCTAGGGAGTCAAATAACACCGAAACAATAAAGAACCAGAAAATCAATTTCGAATGTAAACATTTTATGTGATATTTTTAAAAAGACGAAAACAGCTTAAAAACAGTGACTCCAGCATCAATAATTACATCAATAAATCTTAGATGAGCTAGGTCCCTACACCTTCAATCATTCCATGCAGACACGCAATATCCTGAGTTCAACTTGTGCATTATGCATTAATTGTTTTGGATTAATGTAAATAATTGCTGTTACCCGACTAATGGGAGCAAATAATGGAACTGGGTACAAATTGATTGCACAGTTGACCATAGCAGTTTGTGTTCATCAATTAAATAGCGCATGATCAAGTTGCATACATAAGTAAGTTCCTAATTGCTTCGGACAGACACGGTGGAACTATACACTTTAAAACTCAATAACTACTGCTGACACGCTGACTGCTGGGGATGCATGGGAACAGAAAATGTCAAAGAATATTACACTGAATGGATTTGATACACATATGTAGTATATCTGTGTGATATTCTACTTTACACTGATGTGAATATGGTGACTCACTCAGGAATGGGAATGGAGAATGCTAAAAAAGAGAGAGAAATCATCTCTGGCTTCTCAAAAACTCCTCCCATTTTTGAACATTTCACACAAAATACTGCTTTTAACCCTCTTTCATGCATAAAATAAATTCATTAAAACTTTTATCCTCGAGATGAGTTGGCAGTAACTGACAAATGAGCTGTGATAGTACAAATACAGTGATTTTATCAAGATTATACTGTTATATGTTCATAATCATACCAAAACCATGTAACCATACATTTTGCCAGTTTCTCAGTCATACAAGTCATTCCAGTTTGTCTTAATATGAAATAAAAAGAAATATGTCCATTTGAACAACACTAAGCTTGGCTTACAAAAACTTAATGTAGATTGATTATGTTATATATAAGACCAAATCAAGAGTATATTAACAGCGCTCAAGTTAACACACCCAAAATATGTCATTCAAGTGACCAATCATGTATGATTAGTCCAAGCTTTTTTTAACATGAAACAAACTTTCAAACAATGTACAGGTGGGATTAAAAACATTGATTGCGTCATCTAAAAACAACAATGACTTGACTGCAACAACTGAATTCAACAGCACAGGAAGATGTGGCAACTATATATTTAAGTCACACAGCAAATGAAACTAACAATTAACATTTTAACAATTTATAATCCTATGTCTATACTTATTGCATTATATGCATGAATGCTTAAGAAATACACTTATTTACCTTCTTAATCAAACCCTACAAACGTATTTATTCAAAAAAATTAACATATACATACTTCACATTGGCACCCGGCCATTCTTTCTGTCTACAACACATATACTGAGTAGGACCTACCCTTTGTCAATATGTAATTGCCTTCAACCTTCAAGTCCTCAGACTTAGATTTTTCATGAAAATCATACTTTTTTATCCTTTGGAATTTTTTTCCTTCTTGGAGAGAAGACTTTTTTCCTTTCAAATGAAATTTTCTTTCATCTTGAGGGTTTAATTTTTCTTTAACAAATCTGTCAACTCTTTCTCTCCAAACCCAGGCCTTATGTTATGATTTGAATATTTAGACTGAGACTTTTTTCCTATCAATGTGGTGAGATGGGCAACCAATAGGAGCTGTCAAATTGACAACTACTCTCTTGTG